GGGCTGCTCTTAAGGCTGAGAAATGGAGACCAAGTGCTGGGTTTTGGAGCCTGGGGAAAGGATGATGTGGCCCATCCTAGGGCTCGGAAACTGAGACCAAGTGCTGCATTGTGGGTGCTCGGCACCAGGGTCCCTCAGCCCGTTTTGGGGCTCCCCGGGAGAGCCCAAAGCTGCGTTTGGGGGGGCTTGAAACGGAACTGAACTGAACGCATGAGACGGTCTCTGGGGCGAAAGGAGCTTTTCGCACTGTGCTTGGGGCCAACTCTTTGTTTACTCTTTGTTGCTCCAGGGCTGGGCATGAGCAGTTCTGACAGCTCCTGTTCATCTGCATCGTGACAGGGATTGGTTTAGGACATGGCCACAAGCCAGGCTCAGTTCAGCAAGCGCAAGCTGTAACTGCCTGGGGCTGGAGATGGACACGAGCTGCAGCCACGATGGAACTACAGCCATCCAGGAGCTGGGCCTGAAAAACAGGAGGGCAGAAACAGACCTGAGGCTGCAATGGGGCCCGAGCCATGAATGAGCTGGAGCTGTCGTGGGGACAGAAACCGCTGCCCTGGAGCTGCGAATGAGCTGCAGCCACAACAGCCAGGAGCTGAACCCAGAGCCAGAACCAAACTGGAGATGTCCAGGAGCTGTGGCTGAACCAACACCAAACCCAACCAAATCCAAACCCCAAAATAAACCAAACCAACCCAAAATCAAACCAGCAAACCCAAACCAAAGGGAACCTCAGAATACCCCCACGCACACCAAGGAAGGGGGGCCCAAGCCCCCAACCGGGAGCTGTGTCAGAGCTGCTTCTTGGGGCTTCACATCCCACACCCTGCATGTGGGGCTCCCCTGTGCAGGGACAGACGTGGCCCAGTGAGCTCCTGGCAGTGGTGGAGCTCAGACTGGTCAGAGCTGTCTGTGAGCTGGAGCTGAATCCAGAGCAGGAACCGGCCGGAGCTGCAAATGAACAGGAGCTGGGCCTGAACGAGATGGGGACCTGACCCAATACAAACGCAGCCTGAACCCGAGTCAAACAAGCAACAGCAAGCACAGCAAAACAAACCCCAAACCCAACCCCGAAGCAAAACGGGCCAAATCCCCAAGCTCTGGCCGTGCCCACGTCATCCCCAGCACAGGCAGAGCGGCTGCTGCTGGATTCCACGCAGCTCCCGTCGCGGCTGCGGCTCCTCCGCCCGTCCTTGTGTCCGTACCTGTGCAGGGACCGGACCCGGCTCAGCAGCTCCCGGCAGCGCGCCCCTGCCCCAAGAGACCCGGAGCTGATCCCCGGCCCCAGCAGTGCCGGCACCCGAAGGGCGGGACGGGGGTTCCGGCCCCTCGCAGAGGAAGGGCAGGAGGAGGATGGCGCCTCCTAGCGGAGGAAGGGCAGGGCAGCGGTGGCGCCCCCTAGCGGAGGAAGGGCAGGGCAATGATGGCGCCCCCTAGCGGAGGAAGGGCAGGGCAGCGCAGCGGTGCCTGCCGCTGTGCTCAGCGCAATGGAGGGGGGCTGTGAGCAGGGAGGTGCTGCGGGAACATCGCACCATTCCAGGCACATGGAATAGGGCAGAGCAAGGTGAGTGTTCTCTGGGGGAACGACACGTCCCGTGAGCCAGGGTCTCTGTGGGCAAGGCGCTCATGTGTGAGGGGATGACTTTTATCGTGAGCCAGGTTCCTGCCCGCAGCAGTGCAGGGACTGCACGTCTTTGTATCGGTCATCAATGGAAAGCATCGAGCTGTCCACGATGAGCTTTTAGGAACATTTCATGGATTCAGCACTTGGTGTCTGGAATCTTTTCTTCATATCTGATGACTTCAGAAAGGTTTTGCTATTTTCACAGGAGCACAAACAGAGCTAAATGAACACAAACATGGTTCTGTGCGTGTGTGAAATGCAAAAGCCCCCAGATTTAACAGAAATATTTTCTACTGTGTGTCATAGGTATGAAACACTTTTATCTTTCAAAGTGCACACAAAGCAGCTCATTAACACAGATCAGTATTTGTCAGGATGGGTAAGTATTGCAAAGAAAGAAAAACACATCAACATCCTACACATTATAACTACCAATGAAATGCTACATTTAACGAACAGGAAGTGTCTGTGCGTGAACTAACTTACATTTCCAGTCAAAACCCAGATAAATACACATTCTAAATGGCTTATTTTGAACTGAAAGTACTACTTTTTGACAAACGTCTCCCACCATGTGCCTATAAATCAATGACTTTCTCAATGAGAACTGGGTTTTGTATTAGCCCTGTGTCGGCTGAACAGTTACATGGGTGCAACCTGAGAGTTAAGTCAGTCTGACTTCAGTGACAGCAGCTCTTGTACACAAACACTTCCATACCTGACTGCAGCTGTGCCCGTGAAGGGCTCCATTAGCACATTCAGAGCTCAAACTCCATCTGTATCTGAAATACTTTCCAACTTCTATTTGTAGAATATCACTCCGGTGCACTCCAGACCATAATGGGATGTGTGGGAAAAAGGCTGGATGGGACAGCCTTGTGATGGCTTCCATCTCCTGCAGAGCAGCCGTGCGTGCTGCACTGGTGCGGAACTACAGTAAAAGAAAGGAAGGGAACCGAAGGCTCCTTAAATCCTTGTCTCTCTTAACAGGACAGGTGTCATTGTCTTGGGCAACCAGATTTCTACAGTCACAGAAGTGTGAGGTCTGATGAATATCATCTAATTATTAACAACTAAAACAGGCAAAGTCCTGTGTAACCCACCCATGGCTGTTCTTTTCCCCAGCATGAACTGAAGGGCAATCTGTGCTCCCCTGTATTTACCGTGGGCTAAAGGATACGCGTAAGGTTTTAGAGCACAGGACCTAACACACAGTGAATGCACAGAGCTCTGCACAGCCCTGTGTGCACAGCCTGCACTTATACACCTATCGCTGCTGTCCTGCAGTCTGCCCTGCCCGCAGCAAGGCCGAGAGCCAAACCTTGGGAATCCAATCCAGAATTCAGCCAAACATGATGGCGTAGGAAGCTCTCAGGAACTGCACGTAATTCTGCATGCTCCGGCTCTTGTTCTCCGACTTCTGCAGGCTGTTCTCCAGCTCCTTCAAATGTACTTCGTGCTGCTTTTTGTTCTAGAAGAAAACACAAAGAGAAATGCAATGAGCTTAGAAGTAAACCACAAATCAATCAGGAATCGGGTAAGGCGGCTGGTACCTGATTGTTGGAAGTGTCATTTACCTGGGACAGGTTTCAGAGGCTCCACAAAACTGAAGGGTTCCAAAAAGGCCACAAAATGTCAAGGCTTTGTTTATGTTCAGTCAGGACCGAAGTGATTGTGTTTGGCTGAGCTGATAATCAGGATAAGGCCTGGGAATGGAAGAGCTCATTGCCCGAATTCTTCCCATGAGAGATTTGTGGCAGCTTAAATCTGTCCTGGGCTCAACACTCTCTCTCATCTTGATTTGTCAATAAACATCTGCTATTGCTATTCGATGTGATTTATGATGCCTGTAGTTCCTTATATAAAAAAGATGGCTGATAGCAATCCTACCTGCTCACCAGTTCCACCCCTGGTGCACGTCATAGGTTATATGTTATGTATATGCTATGTACATGCTGCAGATACCCAGGTATTTACTGCTTTGTCTATTACAGATTCCAGGTGCTGATCGGTTAAAATAAATTCATTGTAAAAAACTGGAATTACAGCCTCAGATTTCGGTCCAGCCTTAGCTGGTCAGGAACTGAATGAAGTTACCCTCACAGCCCTATTTTTCCCAGTTTCACTACAACAACAGGAATAAAACCGTTTCCTCGTTTTCCAGAAGGCATCCTCAGTTACGTGTAAATGTCATTGGAACAGATAGCGTTTAATTAATTCAGAGCAGCTCTCTCAAACGTTTATATTTTACCTGTGAACTTCAAATGGAAACCACTTGAAAACATCCTGGGAGTTTTTCTGGGACCAAATACAAGACAGTTTCTTTTCTGTTTTACTTCAACACAGCAAGAATTTCCTATGCAAAACTGTAATAGAATAAGCCACCAGCCAATGTCTGATCTTGTTTTAAGAACACTTTTGTCTTAGGGTAAAAGCAGACGTGAAGTTGCACTTGATACAGATCAAAACTGATGAAAGCACGCTGAATTCAGAACCACGTCTCTGAGGTCTTATTCAATCTTGAATAAATTCAAGCCAACCAAATGCAAATTCTAACCTTGAATGCTGCGAGTCAGAATACACAACATTGGTTTTGGAAGTCTAGGAGAGTGATAGGAAACCTTTCCAGTGTCTTCTCTATTAACTTCAGATGTCTTTGTAGCTTATTATTACTGATCACAGGACAAACCTCTGACTGAGTCAAAGCCCAGGATTTGCCAGCACTGGTCTGGAGAATTCAGCTGTGTGTGGTATTTTATTAATAGAAAATGTGCTGAAATTTTCTGGCTTAGATAAAACAACGGAACAGATTCCTTTGTTTATCTGCAGAGAACATTGCTCACCCCGAATCCTTCTCAGACTGTGGCTTTGCTGAAGAGGTAAGGAACAACAGAATCCCGGGCATTTAAAGGCCTGATGCTTTGAAAAATGAGAACATCTCTTTTGTTACCAACTCTGTTTCTGTGCAACATCAGTACAGAAGATGAAAGCTGCTCACAAATTCCAGTGAGATCTGAATCTTGTCATCAAATCAGGAACAACTAAAAAGATGCCACTATGTCATTATGGAACCGTCATGCATTTACTAAAATCCAGGTGTGTTCACTCAGCATGAGAAGGAAATTATAGCTTCATACATATTCTTTGATTTTTGCCTTGCTGGGAAAACTGGATTGAATAAGAGCTGTAAACTCAATATTGCTCGAGCGATTTAGTTAGACTGGCCGTCTTTTAAGTCTATTAGAAATGTCAATACACAAAGTCTATTGTCAAATGGAATTCATTTGCTGTTCCCAAAAGCGTGTATCAATTTCAGCAGCAGCGTGTGTTTCAGTAAAAGGAACTCCGATTGTAAGTGCTGATGTAGTAATTCCTGAAGTCATAAGCAGTGTTATTTACTCACGTGGTGAAATATGCAGTGGAGTTGGTTTTTCCTTTCTTGCCCCTCTCTCACTTCAGCCTCAAGAAACAGCATCTTTGTCTGAAGGGCTTGTTCTCTGCATGACATCTTTTCCAGTTCTTCAGCCACCTGTAAGGGTAATGAGAGAGAAATGAGGTACATTTACTTTCACTTCAAACCCAAAGCAAAGTATGTTCTTATACCTCAGCATTAACAGCTCCACTGCCTGTCCTGTCAGCTAATAGAATTGTAGAATAGTTTGGGTTGGAAAGGACCTTAAGATCATTCAGTTCCAGCTCTGCTGTGGGAAGGGACGCCTCACCCTAGACCATGTCACCCAGGACTCCGTCCAACCTGGCCTTGAACACTGCCAGGGATGGGGCATTTACCACTTCTCTGGGCACCTTGTGCCAGCGCCTCAGCACCCTCACAGGGAAGAACTTCTGCCTTTATATCCAACCTGAACTTCCCCTGTTTCAGTCTGAGCCCATCACCCCTTGTCCTATCACTGCAGTCCCTGATGAGGAGTCCCTCTCCAGCATCCTTGACACTGGAAGCTGCTCTGAGGTCTCCATCAGCTTCCCTTCTTCAGGCTGAACAGCCCCAGTGTTCTCAGCCTGTCTTCATAGGCGAAGTGCTCCAGCCCCTGCTCATCCTTGTGGGCCCCTCTGGACTTGCTCCAACAGCTCCACGTCCTTCTCATGTTGAGGACACCAGCACTGCACACAGTGTTGCAAGGGGGGAGTTATTTCCCATGCACAGAAGGAACTAAACAAACCTTGGAAACTTTCTAGCGAAATCTGAAAGAAATTCCAATTTGGATAAAAACGTGAGGAGGGAGCAGCTGTTACTTTTGTAACTCATTTGTAAGTTAAGCCAAAGCTGTTGTTTTTTTCAAACCCAAACCAATATCCTCAGTACCGAGGAAATTCAGGTTTATTTCAACAAGATTAATCTGGGAAAGAAATCACAATTTCATACCTATTTTCTTATTAAACAAATAACTGCAATCTCATTTCTCTCCCATTTGATTTACTGGGTGCATCCTTCCTACAGATAACAAATTTCTGCTTAATACTGAAAGTGTGCAAAGCCTTCCTCTAAAACGAAACCCTCCCATTGAAGTTCTCGTGGGCTGCCTTTTTCAAACAAAATAACAAAAAAATAAGGTTTGGTTCAGAGGCTTTTCTATGGGATTCAATATTGGGTGGTTGAAGCATTTTGATTTGTCTTCAAATAAAATGATAGGGAACTGTCTGTCCTCTGAACTTTGTCATTCATTTCAACAGGATCCGAATCCCACAGAGAAACTGAACTGTGCAATCCATATTTAAACATGCCCAAATTCCCAGTCACTTTTTAGTACTGCTCCCTTCACGTAAAACAATCTTGTCCCATCTCTTCTTCTCAAGCACGTTTGGTTTTAATGCTGTTTTTAACTAACAATGGCAAACAGGCTGAGGAGATGTATTAAATCATCAATACCATTTTTCTCCCTTCTTCCAAAGCCGATTCCAGTTGTCTGGTTAATCCATTATATTCTGCAATTTTCTCTTCAAGCTGCAATTGACTGCACTGCAGACTCTCATCTTCGTTTTTGAGCTGACTAGCAAGTTCTTTATTTTCAATCTCCATCTTTTCTAATTGCCTTTATGCAGAACAGATCAATGCATTGTAATTCACTACAGCAGACACGTGTAGGAATTAACTGCAGTCAGATTTTTAAGCAGTTACCTTTTAAGATCTTCGTATTTCTTCTCAATATTACAGTTTTCTTCTTCTAAGGAGTGACTGCCCGCAGAAGTTGCGCTGTATTCCTCCTGTGAAAGTGACAATTCATTTCTAGTTGGAGACCTACAATAAGCTTGCCTGTTAAACTCCACCTGAACAATTCAGCTGTAATTCCGAGTAAACACTATGTTATATTTGAGTAAAGGTGATATTGTATTTAAAACAAATAAAATGCCACCAAAGTAGCAGACTAAAACTTTATGTGAACACTTTTAAGGCTGAAACCCTGCTGTGTAACAAAGGGAAGCCTGAACAAAACCCACATGCTGCTCATGTGGCCTTGAGTATGAGGAGCTCGTCCACCTCCTTGTGAACTTTGACTCCTAAGTTTTAGATTCCGGCAAAAATCAGTTCCCTCACACTACAGTCATTGGAAGCATAAAACTAATAGTGTATATTTCTATACAGTGTAGGACTGGCAGAGAATGTCAGAAAGTGCTGAATATCAGAAAAGACAATCAGATTCATCTCACAAGTTGAAGAAAGCAAGAAGTCAAACCGTGTTCCCTTGCCCAGCATCCGGACTGACAAACTTTGACGTATTTCCTTTTAAATCTCATTAACAGCAGCGATGGCTGCTCTTGCTAGCACACAGCGACAAAAAATGAACAACAAACGCCCGCATCAACAGCCTGCTGGCACCTCCATCATTCACTGGACTACCACAAGCAGTTCCATCCAGTAATCTGAGCTAATCTGTGTGATTTTGTCCATGTGAATCGCAGGCTGTTAAACCAGCAGACTAGGAGTAGCAGAGATGTCCAGCAGAGGGGCAGGAAATTGATGTCCTGCTTTAGCTGAACCTGGAAGAGATTTTCTGCACAGGGTCCTGTTACTTCAAAAGGAATCTTGTTAAATTCTGGTCATAGCATCATGGGTCAGAATCTCTGAAGGGCATCACCAAGATGTAATGCTGGAATTTAACTACTCTTCCATCAGACTTGTGATCATATTCCCAAATCCTTAGCTATACTTAATAATAACTTTTTTGCATCTATTCAGGAAAACATGTAGTTAGATTAAAATTACATGCATCATTTTGTAGATGCGCATCAAAATTAATTGTTGCCTAAGTCTTTTGCTAGGCAAAGATGGATTTATGAGATTATGAGCATTCCTGGAAGAAGTATTTAAAATAATACAAACACGAACCAAATCTGGTGCTGTGAACATCATCTTGACAAGAAATCTAAAACAAAATCAAAAGCTGATTTCTTTTATAAGCATATAAAGTCTATGGGGACACAGATCCTCACTGCTCTTCAGCTGGAGTTTTCCCACTGACACAGCAAGAAGATTAAATCCCTTTCCCACCCCACTGATTCAAACGCCTTTGTCATTCTGCTAGAAGAGTATTCCCCCAAATTGAGCCCTGCCATCGAAACCAGTGTCACAGGAAAAAAAAGCTGAGGAATATTCATACTGGGGCTTAAGGGCAAACACAAGCAGTAATGCTGACATACTGCTAAAATAGGTACGATCCTGCTAAAGCATAATTTATAACATATTTTATCAAGCAACACAATGTAATCATTAAAATGTTAAAGTTATCCATCAGCAATATAATTTATGACTATTTGTCTGAGCAAATACTGTCTGGCTTATAAATTAGTCATTAAAAACAAAATGACCGTGGAATTAAATTATTGCACCAGATACAAACATTAACTAGGCTTGCACATTTATTTTTAGGGAAGAATTCTGCAGCACATCTCAGGCCATAAGTGTTCAAAAGGATCAAGAATATACGCACTGAAAAGATACAGAATTTACAAGTAACCAGTCTTGTCTAATACTGAATTCACATAAATACTATTGGCAATAGTTTTATTTGCATTATGCTATGTCTACAGAAGAAACTCCTGATCTATGAAGCAAATAAGGAAGGAAACTACATGATGGTCACACATGCTAATAAGAAAAAAATGGCCCAGAGACTTTCTTCCATGTAATTTTCTCTTTTATCTTTAAAAATAAGCATATTCTAAGCACCTGAACCTGCAGCTCCCTAAGGGTTTTGCATTTCTGTGCATGGATCCTTTCCCAGGATAGAAGCTTTTTCTGAGAGGATTGCTGTTTTTCCTCAGGTGCTTTCAGCAACTCAAAACCATGTTCTAACTCCTTTAACTCAGGCTCCACGTTGTCCCTCACCTGCATAGTAGCATCAGAGGAGAAAAATGTGAATGTAAAACCATAAATTAATTGTTGTAATACTTAATGACTTTCCATAAGTAATAAATCTAAAATTCTACACAAGTTGCATAATATCAATGATTTTATAGAATACTGACAAAGTTAGAAGTTCAGCACTGGAGAAATTTCCATCTCTGACTGTATTTCATTAATGAACCAGTAACATTCATAATGAATATATACTAAATGATGCAAGTGGTAGCAGTTCATCATGCAATACCCAAATTTTTTGTCTTTATGGCAATATATTTTGGGAGATGGCATACAGCCACATTAAACAGCTGACAGGAAAACTTCTAATCATACAACTACTGGAAAAGAGGGCAACACCTAATGCCATTTGAAGCCACATAAAATTCCGTGCAAGCACTATTTTGGGGTTCAGAAAGTATTTTTCTCCATTCTGCGACTCAAATATGGAAAAATAAAGTTAGTATGAAATAAAATGTATATCTAAGATGCCCTCTGTGAGAATTAATTCTGTTCTCTAAAACAGAACACTGCAGGCAATGCAAAACCTATCCTTACCACAGCTTTATAGCTTAAAAGAATATGTGTTTTGATGAGCCGTGGGGAACTGAGCAAAATGATTTTCCTATCAGTTTTGCATTGTTTTCTGATGCTTAAGAATGTGCTAACTCTGTTCGATTATTCAACTCCATCTGCTGAAACACTTAAAACTCATCTCTGTATGGATGCTCTGTTTTAACTGCTAGTTAAAACAGACAAAGCAGTCTTATGGTAGGTTTGCTTCTGGATGCAACTTTCACAGGTGTACTGTTGAGAGACATAGTTTTAAAAGCATCAACAAAATCCCATTTTTAAAAGTGATAAAAAGATCCTGAAATTCCACAACAGCAGCCCAACTCCTTCATCATTACTCTAGGAACCATTTCTCACCTTTCTGCAATTGTGTGGTAACCAAAACACACCAGCTCACATGAGGCTATAAAACATCTAGTGAATTTAAAAACAGTTTTATACATGGAAAAAGAGCCAGTACCCTGTGACTTCTGAGTGGATCCTACACAAAAGTGTAGGAAAGATCAATGCCCTAGAGCATGTTTGGAAACATGTTTTATTACTCCGAAACTTACCTGATCTACTTCCAAGCTTTCGTCTTCTATTATTCTTTTGTTTTCATTTAAGGCTGTTGCATATCTGGATTTCAATTCTTCTACTGCTGTTTGTAATTCTTGTACCTAGGACAACATATAATTTTCACATGCATTTGCAAGGTGTTTCTTTTAAATACAGAAAATACAGAATCATTAGTATGAAGCATAAAGGAAAACCTTTGATTTCTAAACAGAACCTCAGTATCTGTCATAATATGAGTTATTTATTTTCATTTTCCTACTCACCACAGCACATATAAAAATGTAACTGGGTAAAGAACACTCTGATCTCAACATTTCATATTCAACTATGGAGAATGAGCTGCACTTGTGCTACAGAAGCAGACAGCATGACTCACCCTTCAGATAATAGGTACCACCAGCAGTTCCCATCTGGAGTCACCACAGCTACAAGCTGGGGAATTTCATTCTACTCACTGCTTAAGGCTGTTTCCTGGAACTACATTTCCCATCTTAAAGCTGGCAACAATTTTAATCGTGGTGATGCATTCTACAGACAAGACACACTAATTTTACTTAGGTTTTGTATCATGTCTTTCAATAATTTTTACAAGAGATAAGAGAAGACTCAGTGAAATGGTACCTATACTAGTGCAGAAATATATACAACTTAGAATCAAAGTTCTAAAATGTCTTCTCTGTGATTAAAAGCAAATATAAAAAGCCCATTTTAAGTCTGATTTTTTTTTTGTTTTGCTGGTATTTTCAGTGTGGAACTACCTGTATAAATAAAACTGCTTATAACAATACTTGAATGCTGGCTTGAGGTTCTTAGAAATGTGGAAAAAAAGATACCAAAGAATCCCAGACTGGTTTGGGTTGGAAGGGACCTTAAAGCTCATCCAGTCCAACCATCTTCCACAGGCAGTGACACCTTGCACTGGAGCAAGTTGCTCCAAGCCCCATCCAACTTGGCCTTGAACACTGCCAGGGATGGGGCAGCCACAGCTTCTCTGGGCACCCTGTGCCAGCCCCTCAGCACCCTCACAGGGAAGAATTTCTGCCTAAGATCTAATCTAAGTCTACATTCTGTCATTTAAAGCCATTCCCCCTTGTCCTGTCACTACTTGTCGAAAGTCCCTCTCCAGCTTTCTTGTCAGTCCCTTTAGGTACTGGAAGGCTGCTCTACAAGGTCTCCCTGAAGCTTCTTCTTCTCCAGTCTGAATAACTCCAACTCTCTCGGCCTGTCTCTATAGGAGAGGTGCTGCAGCCCTTGGAACATCTTCACAGCCCTCCTCAAGACTTCCTCCAACAGCTCTACATCCTTCTTGGGCTGGGGGCACCAAAGCTGAACTCAGTACTCCAAGTAGGGTCTCATGAGATCAGAGCAGAGCAGAGGGGCAGGATTACTCCCTTGACCTGCTGATCACACTCCTTTTGATGCACCCTAGAACACGGTTGGCTTCCTGGGCTGCAAGTGCATACTGCTGGCTCATGTTGAGCTTCTTGTCAATCAACACCCCAAAGTCCTACTCCTTAACCAAGGAGAGGTAAAATATCATTGGATTTGTTCATTAAAGCCACCAGACTCAAATTTTGCTTTTTAAATATAGTTTACTGGGTTGCAAACTTATTTTTTAGGAAGCAAATCTTTACTAAGCCACTATGTAATTGGCTCTGTCAGCTTCCATGAGCTTCAGCTGGGCTTCACACAATACACTTACGATTAAGTGTACCAGTAGTAGTGTGAAGACTGTTTGGATATGGTTTGTAATGGTACTCTCTTCTCTCATCCCAAATGTTACAACAGTATTACAGTCACCATAACAACAGTTCTTGTTTACTATAAACAAAACCTTTATAATTTTCTCAAAACTGCTTAGAATTTAAAAGCCATATATGAACATTTCAAATATGCTACTCACCTGATTTTTATATTGTTCAACAAGGTTTTCCTGCACTTTTGCCTTTTTTTGAAGATTTTGCAGCTCATTTTCAACAGAAACACTATTGCTTTCCAATGTGGCAAGGGAAGCCTTGATAAAAACATGGAAAATACAAGATTTCTAAGAGTGCTATTAAAAGAACACAATCTACCATATGATACCACTAGCAAGTGACCTACTGGCATTTAAAAGGTTGACACAGTTCTTTATCCTGTCAAACAAAAATGAGAACCCGCAGCTGGTTTGTCAGCTCATGAGAACATTTACTTTGGAGGATAAATAAAACAAAGAACCTGTAAAAAAGTTGAAATTCATAACTGAGCTAAACTTAGTTCTTTAATCTGAAAGGAAGTTTTACAAACATAAAATAACAACTTCTAGCTAAGCAATTGTGTAGCTACTGACAGCGAAATAAAGGCATCCTGGTTAAGCAGATAGATGAATAGACAGCCCTGTTCCTAGCTCTGCCATAGACTTTCACGGATAAATTTTCTGTGTCTCATTTTCACTTCCTGTAAAAATTGGATAGCAAAATTTATTCTACAGGTTTGGGATCTCTATACAGAAGGCCCAAAGGAAATTACTGTGATTACTTCATTAAAGTATCAGAAATGCAAAGCCACTCAACAATGATTTATAATGGTCTCACCTTTAATTTTTCATTTTCGAGGTAAATCTTTTCATTTTCAGAATCAACAGCATTTAGCTTTCCAAGAATCTCCTCATCTGAGTTTCTTCTCCATTCCTCCTTTCTTTTCAGGTCTTCCAAAAGCCTTGTGATCTGCCTTGTTAGATAGCAAGAACTCATGTAAAATACACAGTGCTTCCAAAACTCTCACTGTGCATATTAAATTGTACCTTAACATACTCCTTTGGTGTTCTTATCATAAAATGTTTTAAAAAAAGTTGTGAAATACAGCAGAGGAGGCCAAAAATCTTGAATTTGTTGCAGTTTGCAACTTCTAAATTCTGCTCAGAATTTAGGAATGTGACTACAGAAGCATGTTTACACTGTCAACACTGAGTGCTGCACTACTAAATATCAACTGTGTGACTACAGAAACAAAAGAATAGATCAACAGTTTAACTTACTTCTTAAGATCTTCTGTTTGAATTTCTAACCTTGTATTTCCTTCAACCACTCTATCATGCTGCTTCTTCCAGACACTGGAAGCTGACAGTATCTCAGACAGTTTGACTTCCTACACAATACAAGAATTACACATTACAAAACAAAAGAATGCCACTGAAAAATGCCATCTTGTTCTACCCATTTTTCTAAACACAAGAATAATTTAATATAAGATGGCTTTATTGCATCTCCCTGGCACAAAGCAATGTCAATTTTGTCTCAAGAGAGAATGAACAAAACTACTCACATTTTAAACAAGTGAAGTCTAAGTAGAGACTTACTTTCAAGGCAAAATCACACTGGCACTGTGTATTAGCTGTAGAATACAACATCTTTATTTCAAACTTTAAGATTGAAACTTTTTCTTACAATAAAAGTATTTGTCTCCACTACATCTCTACTGCATAGAAATTACAGAAATCTATGCAAAACCAAAATCCTGCCAAAACAGTTTAAGGATAAAAAATAACTGCTGAGTAAGAAATGCAGTTAGGTAAAGTCCCTCAAAGGAGTATGAATAATTAACCAGCACATGCAATCCTGAAAGTACACCAGGTCAATGGGGAACGAAAGCAACAGTGTGACTACAAAACACCAAAAGTCCAGGAGTTAGCTGTCATCTCTCTCTGTACTGCTAAGTGTAGGTAAGGATCCACCACTGTCTTCTCACAAAGATCAAAGAAAACAACAAAAAACCACCCTGTTTTTAATCATCTCCTGACATAATAACTGGAAAAATGTACCTTTAATACTGACATATCCAAAATTATGGCAATGCATCTGAAGGCATGAAAATATACTCTTCCTAGGAAGCCTAAATAAGGCAATAAAGATCTCAGCACAGTTCTGATCCACCTGGCCTTTTTGAACAATGACACACTGTGGGGATATGCAGTGCAGGAATCTAAGGAATAATCTGGATGAAAGAAGTTTTCGCTTGGAATTTGAAAAGGTTCGGAGCAAGCAGCTTAGAAACAGAAAGTGAAGTATGACATGAGATGTCTTACACTGATAAAGAAAACAAAGACTTCAAACTCCAATCATGGATTCTCAGTAAACTGTACTTCTGAGTTAAGTCAGTGTATATTCATAAGGTCTAACAGGAAGATCAGGAAAGATGCAACTGACCTTTGAAGTCTGATCAGACTTCTCTTATGTACTACGGTTTGGAGTGTACAACTTCATGGATTAAGACATTCACTGAATTTTAACAAAAAAAAAATGTAGTAACAGCTTGCATGTCACTTACAGCAACCTTTTCCTTAACCAAGGAGGAATAAAAGAGATACAAACAGAGCAGGACCAACAAACTCTTCCCATTTCCACGGGAGAAAGTCTCCCAATTGCTCACAGCATAGTCACTCACACGTTCTTTTATTTTGGAAGTTAATTTTTCCACAGCTGCTTCGAAGTGCTGAGCTCTTTGTTTCTGGCATCTGACTGCTTTTTTCAGAGCACTCTTCTTTTGCTCACTTGTTTCCTTTAAGGCTAACATCTGATGCTTGTATTCACCAAAATGAAGTTTCCACGCTGTTATTTTCTTCTGTAGAGTCTGCAGAATGATTAAACATCAAATCTTTTAAATTTCTATACCTTACAGATCATTTTGTGACATAACAGGCATCAGAAATACCGATTACATTTATAATCGGTAATTTATAATCGATTCCCATAATATCTTTGTACCTCAAAACTTATGGTTGATACAAGGAGCTAGTCAAGATAGATACAGCAGTTAAGCAAGAGAAAATACCTATTGGGAAACTCAGGACAAAGATGACCAAGAATATCAGGGATGTGATATTCACCGATGTGGTAGCAGTATGTGCTCTGAATCTGTGGAGAGCACGCACATAACTAGGGCTGGAGATCAGTATAACTGCATATGAAATTTACATATGAAAGTTAAGATATTGGATTTGGGCTTTTTTAAGTCAAGAAGCTAGGAAAGGCTGTGGTCTTTCTTGAATGCACACATTATGATATGGTCTGTTATTAGATGACAAAACACTATCTTACAAGATCTCTGACTTTTTCCCATGCATATAATGGCCTCACTGTAATAGTGAAACAGAATTTTTAGAGGAGAAACTATTTCTTATGGAAAGAGAAACAATGTTTTATGGAAAGTTGTATTTTGTGTTCAATGGATAGTGAAGATTAAGCACTGCCTTGTCCACAGCAGACAATTGTTTAAAGATAATTAAAAGAGGCTGTGATAAAGCTTAACCCACAGCATTAAATCACACATTGTAAGGACAACTTATAATTTCCTGAGTGCTTGATCTTGCAACACTCAGGAAATAAGATACATTTGCATGAAATGTATTTTTAATACATTTAATCATATCATGAAATGTGTACAATGCAATTGAGATGAGAGCTGAGTTCTACGACTGTCATTATATTATCTTTTCTACTACTGTTAGTATTTCTGACTAACTAGATTTTTACATTACTCTGATGAAGGCAATGAATTAACCCCATCCAGTCCAGGAAGATAATTAAGATAATTAACATCTCTAACTTCATGACTTTTATATTTCTCATGTATGTATCATTTGTTATTTAAATATTAATGGGGAAAAAAACACAAGGCATTAAAACATTGCACAATGACATACAATAAAAGCAATACTGGACTCTGCTTCAAGGAGAATCTCAGATTTGATTCTTCCAAAGGTGGTAAGTACAGCTTATCAAAAATATGACCAAGCTACCAGTAGACAACTACCCTCATAAAGACAACTGCAAGTTCCAGTCTTATCACTTATTATTCATCTGCCAAACTACAGCAATGTAAGTAGGCTAGTAGCTAAATTAATTTCTCAAGTCACTTATAAATATCCTAATTGTAAGAATGATTAATGCATCTGTTTCCTTCCTTTGAGTCTAGGTCTGACACTTAATTATGTTCTACATGAAAAAGGACCAGAATGACATGCCATTTACCTACTATGTTAATGTGCCAGCCTTATATTCGAGCTACTATTTGCCAGTTGATATAAAATACACATATTATGCATATGACAGGGTATTTGTCATATAGGTCCTGCTAATGGCCCCAAAACTTTTCCACAATTAATGAAAAAAGTATGTGGTTTTCCACGTAAAAGAGGGTCTCAGGTACCGTACTGCTTCAAAAAATTATAAAAAAACCCAAATAGGCAGGAAGCACTTCTCATATATAGATGCTTATAAGGCATTTGATGAACAAAGACATGATTTGGCCAGGGCAGCAGAAGAACACCTTCAGTAAATAGAGCAAATAGAAAATCAGAGTCTATGTAAGGTCTCTTCCAACTCTTGGTTTAAGCACACAGCTGTTATCGCTTGTTATAACCACAGGAGGTCACAATCACACTAACAATAAGTGCTCTGGGCGTTATTCAGTGGCTGAGGTAAATTTACATGAAGGATTGATTTCATAAGGGTATTGCTAAGCTTTCGCAAGCTTTTGTCCAGATCATTAACAAACTCATCAACAGGCTTGAAGCCATAAACTAACTTCAGCGCATTTTGAAGAGCAAACAAACAAAACTCGTGAATCAAGATTGTAAATCAAGATTGAATGAAAATACAGTTATATATCAAGTTACTTTAATGAAAATGCTGTTGGAATTCTGTAGTTGTACTAAGTAGGACAAGTAAGCGATTTTTATTTAGGAGAAAAGGAGGTTTTAATATAGACATAGACATACATGACTTTTTTGGAAACTGAGTTGCTATAGATTCCTTAACAAATTATAGAATTAATAGGGGATATATGCTACTAAAAAAAAAGTTTAGAAGTTAGAAATACATTCTTTTTTTAGCCGGTGTTTTCTCATTCATGCCTGTGTTCTTGACAAGTTTCAAATACTGAAATTTGAGGGTATGTATGCTCCAGCCTCTGACACATCACCTCTTCCTTGCCTTGTTCTAGTCAGTAACTGAAGCAAATGCCCAAATTTACCTCTTGTTTCATAGAATAGGAAATGGGATTCCAGCTACCTTAAACAAAGCGAGGTTAGGCATTAGTCTTAAGTGTTTCTCTTTCAGTCAGTATTAAGAGGTTTATTGACTCTTTCACAGTCAATAAATAGGTGGTGATTCATCGCCCTTATCGTATAACAGCCACTCATCCTGAGGACTTGCATATCTCTTTCTACTGACTGTATGGAGACTGCCTCTGGATCGGTATCTATCTTCTAGATAGCTCAGTCAGGTGAGTGCAAATGCTTCTGTGTGCTCAACTTCTATTCAGAACTGCTAGTATGCACAAGTTAAGGAAAGAAGGAAAAAAGAAAACAAACAACAAACCTTGCAATCAAAACAGTGGGGTCGGGCGGATTGTGCAAAATATAAATGCTGATGATTTTTACTGTTTGGGATTTTTCTTTTACCAAGAGTTTGATTTCAAGTGGTACTTTAAGATTCAACTCTCACATCTGAATCAAACTCAGACCACAGTAAGGCTTTGCTAGTTGTTTCAAATAAACTGAAGCACAAAGTAAAAACTATGTTAACCTGTATTTTCTCTTTTAATTCATCATTTTCCGCTTCTTTTCTTTGAATCTGATGTTGCAGGTGAAGTTGTATTGTCTTTGCTGATCTTGACAAATGGTCTCCCTTTTGTACATTGGCCTAAGAAGGAGAAATAAACAGGGAACTATTAGTCTACGGAAATATGTCATATGATGCTATTTATTACATATTACATGGGAGAAAACATGGATTCCAATACAACTGATCACTCACTTTTTTGAGCTGAAGCCTGGATGTAAGGTCTTTAACCTGTTTCTCCCTTTCAAGTGTTTTTCTCCTGAGAATCTTCATTGGAAAAAAAAACAAACGCCAAAAAAATATTTGAATGTCTGAACACAGCAATGCAACAGTACTGCACACTGATGAACATTTCAGCTGTAATATGAAAGACCCTAAGATCCCACATTGCAATGATACCTCACAAACATTCCCACTTTGCCACTGTCACTTCAAACTGTGTGATCCCATGATGCAGCCATTTTCAGATGTACAGCACAGAACAAAGAGAGACAGAAATTTTAATTTACTTACAGTATTTTGGAACATGATTTCATTTAACTTCTGCATCGATGTGTCCATGTTTTTACTGTTTAACTGCAAGACAAGTAGGAAACATTGAAAAATTACTTCAGATGGTAATTGATTTAGCCCACCAAATGCCTTCCAAATTTGTTATGTCCTGTCCAATTTAGTGCATAGGACGTAACAAAAAAAAAAAAAATCTTCCCAACAGATCTATTAAAGAAGATAATAAGACTAACTGCTTAAGACTCATACGAAATGCACACTCATACTGGTTCTATGTTTATGCCTTACATACTTTCTTACTTGTTCTATGCTGTCAGATTCTTTGCTTAGATCAGTAAAATATTTTCCATCTTGGATGGCTTGTGTAGTTCTATGATAATCCTTTTCATACGGTTGAATCAGTGAGCAGAGCTTTCCTGCTTCTCTAGGTGGCACATCCATTTTTCCCTGAAACAGCATTCATAATTATGTAACATTTAGTATCACTCACAGTTTGGACATTGATCTTGCTAATTCGAGGATATCAACATAAAACAAGTCAGCTCTTCAGCAGAATCACTTAGGAGAAGGGATTAAAACTCAAACTGATCACTCACAGAACGCGCCTAATCCATAGTACAAAGGTATACAATTTGCCTCCAGCAAAGATGGAGGCCAACTCCTGCTCAGACACCAATGTTATGTACCACAGCAGAGTTCTTCCGATTTGGAGGCAGCAATGGCATCTCTCTTTTCCCAGTTTGGAAAGGCTAAAAGCTCCTCACCAGGCAGAGCTGCACAGGAACACGATGCTGCCCACGTCATGGCAAGTCCAGAGCCAACTGTCAGTGCCTACTACCTAAGTGCATCCCATTCCCCCACCACTTCCTTGTCATGCACCAGGAACCTGCCATCACCTTCACCCCTTCTCCAAACACTTCCTCACAGAATCAGAATGTAGACTGGTCTGCTTTCAACTGTCACCATAAGGCAAATACTACACTCCAGTTATGTACCTTGGTTTATTAGAGGCTTACGTTTCCCAGCAGACCTCAATTTGTGCAACACAGCACAGGTCTCTATAGCTTTTTCTTGGTTATCTAAACAAAACCAAGTTCTTGAATTTAATTACTTCTAGTGAAAATAGCATCTCGAAAGATTAAACTTTGTCTTTAATTTATCCCAGCCTGTCTGTGTAAGCAGAAAAGGATATAACACTATTTCTGCCATACTTTCAGTATACCATTTTGATGTCCACTTTTTGAAATATCGTGTACTTCCCATCAGTAGCCAGGAAGTATGTTGTGAAATACGTTTTGAATCTTGTTAACAAAGGAAACAGTATGAAAAAATCAAGCTGAACAGGAACAGAATGAACTTGCCTCAGCAGCACGAAGAAGCAGCTTTCCCAGAAGATCCAAGTCCCGTAGAGGCGCAGTACAATTACGTACAGGTAAATACGATGATGATGGCAGTGATGACGACATTCTGAGTTAACGCTGTGTAACAAGACAGTATGTGTTAACAAGAATAGTAACTGAAATGTTACCAGCATCCCAGGTCGTTCCCACTAGCAATTACAGTGGACCAGACCAGGTGAACCCATCAGAGATTTAACCCTGATCATGCAGCTGAGACCTTGCACACGTATTCATAACCTGTAAGCACCGAAGCAGCACTGAATTCACACATACAGCGCACGGAAACCAAACCCCTCAGCAGCACAAACCTCAATGCACACCAAAGACGGAGTAAAGCTCGCAGCGGCAAATCCCCGCAGGGGCCCGGGCCAACCACCAGTGCCCATCACCGCGGCACCATCCCCTCTCGCAAACGCCCCTCCGCACGGCTGCCCGCGGCCCCTCGGCACCCCCTCACCTCACCGCCGCTGCCCGCCATGAGCCGTTGCCTGGCAACCGGCCGTTGCCGCAGCCCGCTCCAGGCGCGGCGGGCGGGATGAGGCGGGGGCACCGTCCCCACGGGGCGGGCCCGCTCGGGGCCTGGTGACACCAGGGCAGCGCAGGCAGGTGGGCTCCTGACAAGGGCCTGCAGGGACAGAACAAGGGGGAATGGCTTTAAACTACCGGAGGGGAGATTGAGATGAGCTGCCGGGCAGAGGCTCTTCCCTGTGAGGGTGCTGAGGCGCTGGCACAGGGTGCCCAGAGAAGCTGTGGCTGCCCCATCCCTGGCAGTGTTCAAAGCCAGGTTGGACACAGGGGCTTGGAGCAACCTGCTCTAGTGGAAGGTGTCCCTGCCTGTGGCAGGGGGGTGGAGCTGGAGGAGCTTTAAGGTCCCTTCAACCCAACCTACTCTGTGGTTCTGTGAATCTATAATGTGTGCACAGTAATAAAAATCAAAGGCTAAATTTCAATCTTTTCTTTTTCTAGTAGATGAAATCACTCCCTTACCCATGCTGGAGTGAGTACCTATTTGCACCCAAATGACAAAGTGGTATGTTGGCTTTTCATGTGCTTAATGTTTTGCTCTCTATAGTGTGATAAACACATAAATGTATTGGCTTTTGCAAATCATAGGTGTGGTTATGTGGATATAACTGTACCAGTTTACAATAACAGAAAGAAAGCTCGCTAAAGACTCAAGATTAGACAAGTTAAAAAGGGCCAGAACTCTTGAGCAAAATGGAGTAACATAGCAAAAGAATTTGTAAAGGTAAAAGAAAGGGGGGGGGGGGGGGGGGGGGGCTTGATATAAGGAAAGCTAGTGCCTGAAAAAGGTAAAGTACTTTTTAGCTTAACTTAGGTTGTAGAAAGAGAACAATGTTTATGTTGTAAGTCTGTGGAATGTAGTGGCCGCACTAAACATGAATGAGTTATTTCACACCATCCTGCGACTTATCAGTTAGTTTAGAGACAGAGCCTCCCAAACATCTGCTAGCTTGGGATACTCCTTGTCTGCCCATCCTGCAATAAATTTTGCAGGAAGGTCACACTGTTTTAAATCATTGCTAGTTATCAGAATTACAGATATGGCTGGTTTCAGCTAGTTTTGTGATTACTGGGGCGTCCGTGACAAAGGTGAAAAGTACACTGTGAGGAAGACTGCTTACTTCATCTTGAAGACCCCTACTCACAAGAGGAAGACTGCTTACTTCATCCTCAAGACCCCTACCCACAATCACCGCAGAGCAGTGCGCAGACGCCAAGAGGAGGGGACTTATGATAATAAGTTCCGGGAGTTAGTTATAATATTTCCTCCCTATATGCGGGAATTGTGAATATGTATGTAACCAATGTAATAGTGAAAGTATATAAACCTGTAACAAATGCTAATCACTTGTGCCTCTGGCTATGGTCATGCGCCCAGTGCTGTTGCTTCTGCTTTATTGACTTTGTCCCTCAATAAAACCTTGTTATCTTGTTTAGAGGAGTGAGTTCCTATTTCACAATAAGAGAGATGAATAGTGAACTAAGCACCTCGGCCAGACCTTTGCTTTAGCACCGCAGTTTGTGTGCTGTGGCTTGGTCTCTCATAGTCAGCTCAGACACAAGTCTTCATTCCAGCTTCCCAGAACTTGCTATATGAGTGCCTTAATTTAAAAAGAAAGCAACAAGTTGTTGCAATTATATAAAAATGTGATGATTGCTTACATAATAAAGCAAGCACTACCTCTTGGTGAGGCTAATTTGCATGATAATTAGCATTGCACTCTGTATCTCATAAACAAAGAACAAATTACAAGTTTCAGTCCTCAAAAGCACAATGACAGTGGCACAATCCACAGAGTGGAAAATAATTAAAGGAAATAGGACACAGTTCCACGATGACATGATTGCAAGCCTTAACAAAAGAGGAGTGCTGGAGAGAGGCTTCTTTAGATACCACAGGAGCTCTGCCGAGTGTTTGCCATGGCTCATGACTGTATCTGCTCTAAAGGAACCTTCAGTTTCTGTGTCGGAAATTCAAGACTCCAATGCCTTTCTTTGATCATTGTTTAATTTTAGCAATAGCCTGATAGCACAAAAGTCTCAGAAAAGCAGCAGATTTGCCCTGACCCTGTTTATGTGCTGTTCCTTCCCCATCCTTTCATGCACATGATACTGACCAGAATTTCTTTCCCTTGGCAATCCTTAGACACTCACTGCCTTACATAGAAATACATATCTCGCAGAGGTGGAGCTGTGACATTTCTTCCCATACACTCTTGTAAAATAGGTATGGTGGCTTTTGCTGCTTGCTTGGCCTGTTTCTCAGCATATTCCGCTCCATCTCGCAGCGTGCCACTTCTGAAGCAAGGAGACACCAAAGTTCTTCACTCTATAGTTCATCGAGGTAGTGGACACTGGGGTGAGCTGCCACTTGGAGTTACGATGCTGTAGTGCTGTGGAGTTCCCCATAGTCACCCACTCCAGGAGCCTTATCTCTTTGCACAGGCTCGAGCAGTATATCATCTTTGCTGCTCAAAGAGCAGCAGTGGGTGTTTCTGCACCCACTTAAGGCATGGAAGAAATATAAGTCAGTTCCAAGAAACAAAGAAGTAGCAAGGCGGCCCTACTAATAGCAAGGAATTTTACATGGCAGCAGGTCTGGGTGTCCTTCATATGGAGATTGATGATTCAGTGTTGGTATTCTTGGGTTTTAGCCAAGGATGTCTGGAAACACCTTACCCCAGATGCAAGTTACCGCAGCTAAGGTGATGCGGAACTTTCCTTATTATATGTATTGACCTTCCTGGATCAGAGTTCCCAGTGCTAATTTTTCACCATAAATCCAACTGCACTGGTGCTACTCCTCATTTCCATGTGAATTGCTTCCAGCTCAGACAGTTGTTTGCAGAAGACTTTAGATATTCAGAGGAGGCGAAACTAATATATTTCTCTTTTACGAAGCAGTCCTTAAATCCACTTGCATTCATTCCTCAATTTAGACTTGTGAGAGCAACTCAGGGGGTGAACCTGAGCCCTGTTTGTTCCCCTTCCTTTAGGATGCGCATCTCCTGCAAAACTGCTTGCTCCAGTTCCTAAATTGCTACAGTCCCTTTGCTACACTGGAAAATGACCAGAGAGCCTGTCAAGGTCCCAGAACTGGGACAGGTACTACAGGAGAGTGTTCAAGACTTGGGCTACATGATAGAGACCTTAAGGATGGAAGAAAGAGCAAGAGGATGCATTACAAAGTGGAGTTCCAAGCAAAAGGGTAGGAACAGTGGAGAGCACATTGTATTTGCAAGATTAAGATAGCTTAATTTGTATTAATATAGTTTACTTCCAGAAATTCCTTTCCAAGAAAAAGGGGCACACTCAAACATGCAACTTCAACTTTTGACAGATTTTGGGAAGGCATGATTCTTTATCTGGCCAAATTCTGTCTCTTATCAGTGACGGGCCATTAACAAGTAGCCCTGTAAATTCTGCCTCGCAGGGAGTGGAGGCAGAGACCCTTTTGTGCATGGGTGGAGCGGATAGCTGGCTGCAGTTACACAAACAATACCTACAGGAAAATGGGAAGTTCATTAGAAGTGCTTTATGTGGCCAGCTGGAACTGTGAGCGGATGCCTGGGGGGGTGTAACACGCCATAACAACATCAAGCTGTTCTCCCTGTGTAACAGCAGGGATCCCATCCCCAGCTGGTTGTTCAGGGTGCTGCTCAGGGAAGATGCTCTTAGGTTTACCAAATCTCTGCTCAAGTCCCTGTAGCCTATGGGTTCCCCAGTCCTGGATTCTCACTGTGGGAGCAGCAGTCCCTATAGCTAAAAACTCCTGCTTTTCCATGGAGGGAGGGCTGACCTCACTTGCCTAAGGTTAGCACAAGCCTGGCCCTGCCTTTGCAGAGGTCAGCCATACTGGGGCACTGGTGGTCCCCAGCTCTCAGGATTTTGGCAGCTACTTTCTGGCAGAGAGAGACCGGCCAGAAAGACCCTGACTCGTCTCATGCTGGGAAACCAGGAAGAAGCTGGGCATCACTGAGGAAGCAGTGGGAGGCTGCTCCTGGGGCAGAGCCAGCTGGGGAGAAGGGAGCCTGGCAGGTACCCACTTGGCCCTCCTATACATGGGGCTGCAGGCTTCTGCACCCCGCACCAGCTCCACTTGGGCATCCTTCATGCTTATGGGCAGGTTTGGGGTTTGGTGCTTCTGGTTATCAGATAGGGTTTTAAAGTGGAAATATATTCTGTTTTATCCTCAGGTGTTCCTCTGATCTTCCTGGCATCTACATCTGTGGAAAAAAAATCCTGCTTTGAAGGACATTGTGTTGTTAATAGGCCAACATGGCTTTTTGAGGAAGGCTTTGCATTTATTCCTGAATGAAATCAAACTGCAGAATCATCAATAATGTGTATGCAAAGTTTATAATCTGTATGTATAAACATGTAAAACCAGATTTCCTTCAATTAAATATTCTCTTACAAAATTTGCTTTATCCTACTTTTTGAAATGTAACATTTATTTCAATCATTATGTAAGTAAATCAACTGTAATGTATACTGTTATTAATGTAAAATTAAGTTTACCATCAGCTGATGTTTGAAGTGCCTAAATCAGCAGTGAAGGTTTATTTTCACCACTGCTTTTAGTTGTTACTCTTCTGTTGCTTACTTCTGATTTTTGTCTATTTGTTTATCATTATAGGTGGCTGAATTCTGAAATAAGCATAACCAGAACTCAATCACAGCAGAATCAAATATGTGACTATAGAAGCACATAAGAAGTAATTAAAAACTGGTCTGATTTTGAAAATCTTCTGTTCTTTAGCTTTTAATGAAATAACAGATGATTTCGTTAAGAAATTTGCATTTCCTTGAGTTAAAACGCAGTACCAAAAGACGTCTTACTTCAGACTGCAGTTGTCTCTAACAGTTTTAACATACCATCAAAACCAGGAGCTGCACAGGTTGCATATCATAGAATCATAGAATAGTTACGGTTGGAAAGGATCTTAAGATCACTCAGTTCCAACTCCCCTGCCATTGGCAGGGACGTCTCACACTAGACCATAATGCCCAAGGCTCCGTCCAACCTGGGCTTGAACACTGCCAGGAATGGAGCATTCACCACTTCCTTGGGAAACCCATTCCAGCGCCTCACCGTATCAAAGGTTAATTGTCCTGTTATTCTTATTTCCTAGATAAATTAATCTAAAAGCATAATAAATACAACAATTTCTGTTTGATGTTAATTTATGTCATTTTTATATCTAGGTTCTGATATCGTTAAGAATGATGGGATCTATTCCAAATACTTGTTTGCTTTCCCTAAGAAAAGCAAATACAGCCTGAAAGTTCACATCCAAGCTAAAAGAACTATCGTGCCACAAACTGCAGTGCCATGCAGTCATGACATGTCTATATCAGGCAGTATAGAAAACAGAATTGCGAAGTAATGCAGAGAAAATAATACAGTTACGTATTCCAGCACCTCTATACATCAAGTCCCTTTATAAATACTAGCAGTAGCATTAGAGCAACAACAGCCCAGCTAAGAGCTGTTTAGTTTTGAATGTTTTTCGAAACCTGGAAAGTCAGTATTCTCCAGAAGAATATTTAAAGTAGACTGCTAACTCTATAATAGAGCAGTGCCTGTGTAATACAGATAGACAGGATTTGCGTTTTGCCTGTGAAAAGAGTAACTGTAGGTTTGTTAACTGAAGTACTGTAATCAGTCAAATTAAAAACTGTGAACATTTTAGTAAATTAAACTCTCCTGTAATTATTTTATAACAAGTAACAGTTACTTCAATTTAATATTGGCTTTCTTAGTAATTAGCAGTCTTGAAACTCTACAGAAATAGCTATTGCAGTAGAAATTATTGCACTTCATTTAAGTTAATGGATTTTTCAAATATAAAGCCATATAAATGAGGTGTAGTTCAGGTCGCCTGCATGCTACAAGAGTGTGCTTATAGTCAAGATTAATCTGCATTTTTTACTGCTTTAGGTAAAATCGAGATGAACCCATCAAGACCCTCAGTTATTAAAAATTATATTCATATCAGAAGAGGAGGTTTCCACAGAACAGCTGCAGAAGACTCCTCCATAATATCTGTAGTACTATTGGGACCTAAAGCTGATATGTTTCCATCCACCATGTAAAATTATTAATCTTGATGACATAAAATCTGATAATGTCATTTTATCATGGACTGCCTCAGGAAATTATTTATACAGGAATTTCATCAATAATGAATTAAAGGATGAAAATACAACCAGTGTCAATCAGTAGCACATTCATTCCATTTTTATTATTTTAATGGAATTATGAATTTAACTAACAATACAACTCTATCATAAGATATTTGTGAACTGATTACTGTGGGATAGCCCAATTCCAAATATAGTGCTATGTGGGATTAACCAAGCACCTCCTATAGAAATTAGGAACTACCTAGCTGAGAGATCTCAAGAAGTGTCTGATAGGGAATCATCATCTAATAGACATTTCTCAACTGATTGTGAATCAGGGTTTGGGGTGATGCTATGAAATACTTTAACAAGGAATTGGAGTAAATATAAAGTCACTTTTGGACACGTTTCTTCAAATATGAAGTGAAAGATGACAAGACATAGGAGAGCCACACAGAGTAATCGGGTTATTCATCTAAAGGTAAACGACATTTAAAATGCGAGACTTTCAATCGCAAATACAGAATTTATTGGCATTTTACTGTCTCACTGATCTAATCTAATCTGTTTTTTTTTCTATCGTTTCAATTCCGCACTACATAATTAATGCATTGTTCAGATTTTTTCCCCAGGAAATTCCAAGTGTGCTTTTGTAATTATTTCTCTTACAAAATAAATAGCAGAGCATAGATCACCTAAAGAGGCATAAGAAAATTGAATTGGATTTTTTTAGTTCACAGTAAAATATGAACTATTTCTTCCTAAAATTAATACATAACTAAATGCAGCCAACATTTCTGGTACAACTGTACTTGCATAGAACACCAGTGTCTTGTTGTAGACTATTGCACCTCTTTTCAACACAAAGGCAGTGTTAGGAGTGAAGAGAAGGTGTGAATCCCCCAGGGAGTGAAAGCTTTGACTTTATGGAAAGTGTAGTGTCAACATGGTGGGAGCCCCAGGACACTGACATTGATCAAAGTGGGGACCTGCTCAGGAGTGAAGTTTAAGGGAAAGTGAAACTTGTGCTGGTTAACATATCCTACATATAAGGTGTGCTGTTTGGCTCATTAGCAAACTCACTGATGTAATTCAGGTCCTGTTGTCTGACTGCTGAGATCCACAGCTGGCTGTCACGCTGGTGGCCATGCAATGGGAGGAAGCGAATGACCTGTGACAACAAGATAAGACACGCTTGGGACTCCATGTAGTCAGATGGGAAGAATCAAACTATCCTAGCTGCTGTAACAAGAAGATAAGATGTGCTTGGGACTCTACATACTCGGATGGGGGAGGTGAACTATTCTGGCTTATCATAACAAAGTCTTCTTGCGTTACAGGCAGTCATATAAATAAGACTGATAAAGCCATCACTTTTCTATCCAAGAATCTCCCAGTCAGAGACAAGTAATGGGGGTGACACAGAGTCTGATATTTTTGCTATCTTTTCAGCTCTTGCAGCTGATAAAAGGTTCTACGGTATGGCTAAATGAGAATGGCTATGAGGATCTGGTTGTTGCAATTAATCCCCAGGTACCAGAAGATGCCAACATAATCCTGAACACAATGGTAAGAAAGTCTGCATTTATATGCTTTGTTCCTTGGCATTTGTGACTTGACTTTTCTCCTTGGAAAGTAGCATGAATCAGGTCCAGCTCTCACTCTTGTCTATAGGTTTTTCATGTTGCTTTGACTTAATCATGGATCAATCCCATAGTTACAAAAATAGTAATTTGCAATTTTTCTTGCCATACATTGTTGCTGCTAAGAGCACTAATTCTCTCAGACAATGCTGTAATATCTCTTTTGGGAGGCAGAGTGAGATTAAGTAGCTTTCCAAATTATGTTTACCTGAAAGAATGTCTTACTAATGCGTGTTTAATAGCCATTGATTATACTAGTGTTCTTTCATTAGATAATACGTCTTATTATGTTCCTTTAAAAATTGTAACTGAGAGAAAAAGCAAACACACCGAGAAAAAAAAGGTTCAGTTTTAGTGGCATTTCTGGGCTTAAGTTTTATTCCAGTTCACATAGCTGCCTCAATGTATAAATTCCACTGGAATGCTAGCCAGCTCTCAAGGCAAAGACACTGTTTTCCACTAAGTGAAACCATTTTAGAGCAAACCTGCTCAACAGGACACTTCTGACGAATGCCCAAGTTCTGCAGTATTTCTAATGCCTACTAGTCCTGATGTTGGACTGTATCAGTCCCATGTCATCCGTAAGATCAAGTACAACGGATACCATCAAATTTTTAACATTTCCAGATTCGTTTTATCTTGTAAGAGGAGGTTTACATGGAGTAAAAGTGGACGTGATTTCAGTTACTGGCTATCCCTGTTTTTAAGAGTAAGCAGAGTTTAGATCACTCAACTTTCATTAAGGAGCAAACCACTGAGAGTGTGTTTTAATATAGAAGTGTATGAGTGATGGTTACTGTTAGTGTGAGATATAGCACATACCAAATTCACATTAGAGCTGGCCTTATGAGACTTGCTCTGTCACCATTCTTCCAGTTCCCTTGAGCTAGTCAAATTGCTCTGTTCTATCTGAAGAGCAGGCAAGGGGTCGCACAGGGACAGCTGATGTGGCACGTCCCATTACTGCTTAACTTCTCATGGGTTAGCATGACTGTCACTCTCAGTCCTAGCAAACTGAATCTCTTCAAGAAATCTCCTTTAGATGAATTTTATATACATGTAACATGGATATTTGATTCCAGAGCCTCCTGTCTGAGCTTGTTTCTTAGATGATGAAAAGCCTATGGGACAGGTTTCAGGTCCCTCCTTCCTGATTGTTTTTTTTCCACTGAACGCTTGGTTGTTAGTGGAGAGAAAAACAAAGAAAGAGAAAGTTTTTTCTGATGCCTCTACTCTAAGCGAAGTGGTGAAAGATCAAGAGGAAAGGAAAGTCATGGCGACATATAGTAACCATCATACAAATAAGAAGAAATGAGAAATGGTGAATTTGAGGGGAGAAATATGAGATTGGTCAGATAAATGAAAAGCAGGTGCAGTGCTGAATCTTGCCCATATGTGCTGTCAGGCCAGTATGAATTTAAGGCTAAAATCCCTGTATTCAGTAGTTTTCACCTCGCATGAAGGCTAAAGTGGGAGTTTTATCACAGTCTGTGATTAAGAACAGGATTATAGAACCACTGAGAAATTCCAAGAATGACAGCTTAGTCCTCGGCTTTTTTGTTTATTCTTTTCTTAGCGAAGATTGTAATGCTTTCTTAGTTTTGTGCTGTGTGCTTCTACTTTTCTGCACTGCTGTTTCTCGATAAGGCTCATTGCATGTGCAGTCAAATGTTTAATGCTAATGTTGATATTGATATTTTGTTTTCTTTCATCCCCCAGAACATGATTAAAAATGCTTCTAATTACTTGTTTGAAATGACAAAACATCGATTTTTCTTCAAGTCTGTAAAAATTATAATTCCTAAAACATGGAAGAAAAATACCAACTACTCAAGAATAAAAACAGAATCATATGATCAGGTATGATTTAGAGAATTTTTTATGGTCAGAACAAGGAAAAGCTACACTGATGAGGCTATATTACAAATCACAGCAAGACGTAGGACTGACTCTAGTAGTTCTTACTCAAAATTGTTGAGGGTGTTTTCAGGGTAAAAAGAATTGCAGTACTGAATTTATTCAACAAGAACAACCCAACTCTTCTCTACACCCATGTCATGTATAACTTTGGTCTTACTTTTTCAGGCAGATGTCATCATAGCAGACTATTATATGAAACATGTAGATGATCCTTATACCTTACTGTACGAAGGATGTAAGATGAAAGGACGGTACATCCATTTCACACCTAACTTCTTGTTAAATGAAAATCTCACTAATGTTTACGGAGAAAAAGGTAATACTATTTAATACCATTTAATTTAATTGCCTGCTTTACTGTTCATACAAAAAGGCCAAGATTTTCCTCAGTGAATAATAAATATGGATACTTCAATTTGCTTGTTAAAATGCAAAAACCTCTGAGAGGTTTTTCAGAAGGAGTAAGTACCTGTAAAATGTCTGAAGTTAAATATTCAAACACTGGATCCATAGAACCATAGAATCAACTAGGTTGGAAAAGACCTTTAAGATCATCAAGTCCAACCTTTACCCAGAAGTTGCTCATTCCTTTGAAAACTTGAAATAGTTATTCCTTAATTATAAATATTTCACAATCTTCCTCTATTACCTCAGAGAAGAATGACTTCAATTTGTTAAAAAGTCTAAGGAAAACATTGAGCAGCTTTTAAGCAGTTTTATTTAGAATGTGCATGTGCTGTTCTATTTCAACAGGTCGAGTATTTGTCCATGAATGGACTCACTTTCGATGGGGGGTGTTTGATGAATACAGTAGAGACATGCCTTTTTATGTGTCTGAAAAAGCAGCTATTGAAGCAACAAGGTAGTATGTTTTTCCTATTTCTGCTTTTACAATACTCAGGTTTAAACATTTCAACAACCTTTTCATTACGTTTGTCATCTGTGTTGAGTCTGTACTTTGCAGAGTGTCCACGACCTGCTCATGTGATTAAAAGATGCTTAGCCAACAACATCTACTGCCTGCTCAGCAGCCCAGAAAACCACAGCTGGTTTTGGTGTTGTTTTGTAACAGGTTCAGGAGATGAGGGTGGACAATCTTTTCTCTGTGTGCAACTGCAGACTTCAGCCACTATTTGTTTCATACCTATTTGACCTGATTTTTGCCTACTGAAAACGACTGCCTATTGAAACCACTGTGATTTTAAACAGTTTCTACAAAGAGGGACAATAACTAAATGAATGTGGAGAATTAGTTCAGGCTTGCCTTTTTTCCTAGCTCAGGCATACCAATACAATCTTTTGTACCGCAAGGATGTCTTTCCTGCATAGCCTACGATTATCACAAGAAAGATCATAAAAAACCACAACTGTTTTATAATTTTAACTATTTATAGATTAGTTTGAGGACGCTGCCGGGCACAGAGAAAGCCTACAAATGGACTTGTGCAGTGGCTAGTGCAGTGGTGTGTCAACAGCTATTTGGCTTTGGGCAGTCAAAATTCAAATAAATAACCAGTTACAGACTATATGTATGGGTTCTTAAGCAGCCCTGCTTATGTTCTCTTCCCTTAGCTGTCCAGCTGGTGTGACTGGTATTCCTGTTTTCCAAGACTGCAGAGGAGATATATGTAAGCCAAGAAGCTGTAGATATGATGGTCAGCTATATGAAAAAGGATGTGTATTTATTCCAGATATACGCCAAAATATCTCATGTTCTATTATGTATATGCAATACGCACGTCCTGTAAGTATTACTATACCCTTCTGGACTTAAGAGTCTAGTAACACTTAGGGTCTAACCAGTGATTTCTGCTGGGGAGAACTATCAGTCAAGTGCTTCTTTAATTAATTCCAAAGACTATGAAGGATGCTATAAGTTCTATTAAAATCTGCTCAAAATGGAAGACAAAGGAGCTACTAGAAATTATTTGACAGCTGTTTCCTGTCAATAAGGGAGAGGTGTACAGCAGCCTCAGAATCCTTCTTGCTTCGTGTTTGGAGAATCAGGTTAACAGGCATAAAAGTGAAGCATTCTTGCCAAATGCCATGTCCATAAGGTAACTGTAGATTTTGATCACTCCTTATGAAAACTGGTGCCTGAACTGCGTTACCTGGTTAGCTCTATTACACTCCACTGCAGAGCAATCTGGTCTGTCTATCTAGCCTTAACAGGGGAGCAGCAGCCCACTTATCTCAAAAACAGCCAGGATAACCAGGCAGGCCTCCTCATGTCAGCTCCAGTGTTTGGGACAGGGGTTAGCAGGATGGACAGTATCCTTGCAGGCTAGGTTTCTGTGGTATGGTGTCACAATTCCTCCGGCTATCAACTTCATTTCTTTGGGCAAGCTGTTTCCAAGAACTTCATGGGTGTACTGGGCTTGGTTGGGATACAATAGCTTTCTTCGTAATGGATGATATGCTGCTTCTCTCAAAGTCTTGACTTTGTATCTTTTGCATATTTCGTTATTTGACTCAAGAAAACTCACATGAACCAGTCTAAGAACACCAACTTAACCCAAGAAGTTGGTTAAATTTTCAGGTTGCTAACTTGAACTGACCTCCATGCTGTTCAGCCACAATATCTATGTTAGCAGGCTTAAATCTAGTAGGACCTCCATGAAGCAGTCACTCCAAGGATCTCAGTACTCACAGATAAAATGCTTGCTTTCTACATGTCACAACATGCTGGTGCTTATGTAGAATCTGAGATAAGTTCTTTGGGAGCACTTTCTTCACTTGCCTCTTCTAAGATCCTGGCTAGAAAGTCATCATGGCAGAGTACATTCAATGGAGAAGAACACCTCCATCTGTCCTGTCCCCCCACAACAAACTTCATATTTTCTGAGATATTTTCTTATGCTCATACTGTTGGGATCAGAATTATTATCAGCTTCAATCTGACTTTCTAGGTGGTTGAATTTTGTGATCAAAACACTCACAACAGTGAGGCTCCAAATATGCAGAACAAGATATGCAACCACAAAAGCACGTGGGAGGTAATTATGGAATCTGATGACTTTCGCAACTCGACTGCTCTAAATACTTCTGCACCCTCCTCTGAGACTACATTCAGGCTACTACAAGCCCAAGAAAGAGTAATTTGTTTAGTACTGGATATTTCTGGGAGCATGAGAATGGTAAGAATATGCATCTTATAAGCAATTTTTTAGCAAAAATTCCTAGCATGATATTGCTTGAAAGTATTGAGAGTTGTAGAGCAGACTTGCTCTTTCTTTTGTTATCAAACATCAATTTTATATCCTTTCCTGCCTTTGTTCCAGACCTAGAATGAAAATGCCCTTGTATTTCTTCCAAGCAGCAACATATCATAGATGGAGTTTCACATTGTACTTTTGTTATGAATGATTCTAAATTTTAAAGTAAATACATAGGTCATGATACATTAATAAATTAGATGTTCTTTCCTCATTACAATAGTGCTCTTCGGAATCAAGAATGTAAGCTGAAGTAATGTTATGTCTTTTTAACACAGCTGGGGGCATTTTTCCCTTTTTTTTCCATAAACTTTGCATAGGTTTATTCTTTTACAACTTCTTGTGGCATGAGATACTGAGCTTGTTTATGGATGCAAGGTTTAGTAAACATCCCTGAATATAGGCTTATTTCCATAAATACCCTCATACTTTTATAAATCTGCATAAATTGGATCATCTGTAGAAAGATGACAAAATTTTCTGGGTAGGTAAGGCAGGTGTCTCATAATTTGTTAATAGACTTCACGCCTCTATGATAAATGCTTTAAAAGATAACTTTTTTTTTAGTAATCTGTTCAAATATTTGCATTTAAAATAGCCATAATTTTACTTTAGTATTATTTCTATTTTCAAAATACTTAGTCTCTAGACTAATCTACTGCTCATGCATCATAGGTTTTGTCCTTTTCCATTGCCATCATGCTATCAAACCCAATAAATAGTGACAAAAACCTTGATTAGGAATGAAGTTGTAACATCAGAAGATGAACTTTGCCTGGTTATATCTTTCTTGGAAGCTGCAGTTTGCTGTGCTTTCACAAGACCAGAAAATCGTTTACATCTCCTCTCTTCTCTAACTGAGCATACACAAGTTACATTATGGCAGATAGTTTTTAATTACAACCTGACATCAATAAATCCTACATTTTGTTTATAGCCACAGCTTTTCAAAGAGACTGCATTCTAAGGATGTTTTTTTTCACATACAGCACAATCGCATGGAAAACCTCCATACTGCTGCAGAGACGTACCTGCTCCATGTTATTGAAACTGGCTCCTGGGTTGCAATTGTCACATTTGACTCTGATGCAACTGAAAGAGCTCATTTGCAACAAATAACCGATAATGGGACACGCCAAAAACTTGTGCAATTTTTGCCTACAATTCCTAGTGGACTGACCAATATCTGTGCAGGGATACATAAAGGACTTAAGGTAAAGTACAATGTGGAAATATCCTTGGGATGTAGGGAAGTGAGGAAGAAGTGAGAAACATACTTGAACATGGACTTCCGATAGAGTTAAGAGAGAGAATATGGTAGAGTTAAGAAAGACAAGATGATTCTTGAATCTATCAGGAGAAAATTCGGTATAGAAATTGGCATTACCATTATATGGCATTAGGAAGAGTATTACTAGAAGACGGTCCAGATGTGCTTTAAAGTCCATGCTTTAAAAGGCTATTGAAAAAGAAGATGAAATTCCAAAATTAACTACAAGAATGATCTAAATTTGTGAATAATTCCCACAGCTCAGTAGTCATGAATCAAACCCCTAAAACCCCAAAAACTGTGAAACCACATATATCTCAGGAGCTTGGGAGATTGGGAAACAGGGAAGTTCAGGTTAGATATAAGGAAGAAGGTCTTCACTGTGAAGGTAACGAGGCACTGGAACAGGTTGTCAAAAGAAGTGGCAAATGCTCCATCCCTGGCAGTGTTCAAGGCCAGGTTGGATGGAGTCTTGGGTGACACGGTTTAGTGTGAGGTGTCCCTGCCCATGGCAGGGGTTTGGAACTACATGATCTAAAGGTGCTTTCCAACCCAAACCGTTTATATGATTCTATGATTGTTATTTATTTGTTTGTTATACTTCCTTGGGCTGGCAGTTTGAAGTCCCAGATGTCACCTTATTCAAATGCAAAACTGAAAATAAGAAGCAGCATGTAGGAAAAAGAAAAGAAGGGAAAGAGAGAAATTGCACAGAGAAGGATGAGACTTCCGAGGTGGGTGAGAGTCCAGGGCAGGGAGGAGGCTCAGGACAGGGGGACCTCAGAAGGATGACCGGCAAACAGACAGGGATGAAACAGCCTTGACTACCCCTTTCTGCCCCACCTTAATTTACCTCAGAGTCCATCCTTAGACAGAAGTCTGTCCTTCTGTTCTTCTGTACTCTTGAAATTTTGACTGGAGAATAGAGTAGTTCCAGACAGGGGACAGAAGTTTTTAATGTGATGCCCTTAAATATCCAGTCCCCGAACCAGCAAAGCATATACAGGCGGAATGATTTTGACATCTTAAATTTGGGACAGTTTCCTGCCCCAGGAAAGTGTATATTAAATATTCACTATTTATAACTGAATACTTACTAATCTGAGCATTTAGAGCTTGCAATTATCAATTACAATAATTAATATTGTAATAGTTCTAGCATTACATAAAATGTCAAACACTTATTAAAGAATAAATTTGTCTTATATTGGAAGTTAACAGCTCCAAATGCATACATTAACTGTGTCCTGGGATAAACTAGTATTTCAAAATCATTCTGCTGCTTATATCATGAATTCTTTTCTCGATGCAGGTAATTGCAAACAAAATGAATACTACATATGGTTCAGAAATTGTGTTATTGACGGATGGAGAGGACCCAGGGATAGCAGCTTGCTTTAATTTGGTGAAACAAAGTGGGGCTAAAATTCACACCATTGCATTGGGGCCACAGGCAGACAAGAAACTAGAACAACTTTCAGAACTAACTGGTAAATATTCTACAATGCACTCTCACTCTCTGGCATGTTCAAGTATGAAAATGTAAAAGCATGGCAATGCCATCAGTCTGGAATTTTAGATTTAAATGTAAAAAATTAAAACAAATCTAGTTTTAAGGAAATTTTGTTATCATGAGCAGCTTTTTTTTAATGCAAGCAAGCAGAACTCTTTAGATCCATAGTTACCCTTTAAGAGCTGTCTTGGTTTAAAACATGACAACAACCTATTACTAAGGAGATTTTCTTATGATATTGTTCTCTAACATGAAAAGAAATGTCTAGAGTTTTATTTCTGGCATTACATTCAATAACTAGAACTTTCTATATGCTTTTACTCATAAGCATTTTTTAGTACACAAAGAATAATGATTTCCTCAGCTGTTGCAGCTGAAGTGCACTGGCTAGGAAATTGTAAGCACAGTGACTACCCTTGTCATAAGCAAGCATAGCTGAAGCTACACAATTAGTTTGAAAACAACCATTTAAAAACTGTCCATAGGGGTGTTGCTTCATGCTACTGCACCTGGAAGTGACAGGGAAGAATGAGAACTTCTTGAGTAGATCTAGAAAGCAAGCTGAGTCCAGACAAATACAGTGAATAAAGATTCTTATTTGAGGGTGCACATGCTGTGCATTTTCAGAGTACAATCCACTTGGTTTAGCAATTTAAATAACTTTAAATACCCATACACACTCTTCAACATCATTAGATCAACATGACAAGGACAATGGTGGAGTCCAGATTTTAATTCTGTCCTGGCTTGTATTTTAAGACAGAATTTGTTGTTTAAACTCCCCTTGTGGAGAATTTATTAAAAATGATTTTTGGGGCAGAAAGAACCCAGATGGTCCTTCACCATGTAGTTGTCAACCAGCAGGTCTTCCTGCTTAGAAACAAAAGTCAGTTTTTCAAAGTTACTAAATATATCTCTCAGATAAGACCTCCTCCACCTCATATTACTCTACACGTTCTCTCACCAGACACAGCCATACACCTGATGTAACCTGCACATCTTATGTCAGTGTGTGCAAGACGGACAGGGGTGAGAGGGATAACCTGTGAGTTGAGAACACAGTGATGGCTCAGTTTATGTCTGACATGTATGATCCTAGTTTGAAAGAGACTTGCAACAAGTGCATGAAGTGCAGATGGTGAGACACGAGCCTCAGCAGAACCGTATGAAGCCATATTCACAATGAGTTCATTAACAGCCCTGCGCTAGTATGAGAACTTCCAATGGACTAGGGCTGCTTGAACTCAGACTGCGTGCAAAGAGATCTAAACTTCATGTTCGGAAATAAAGATGATCTGGATTTTAAGAGTTAAAAACCATGGTATGCCACTGTGTTTTTCCTACAGAGGTATTTCAGAGCAGAATTTCACTGAAAGGATAATATGTGACTCCAAAACCACTAGAAGTCTAAAAATATTGTACTTGATGACATGCTGCATCTTTACCAATGAGAGATAAAATGAATTGATTGCACGAGCCGGAATTTACTATGACACATACATTGACACATTAATAAAAAGATACATTTTGATTTTGATTTTGTAACAAATTGGCTGCCTCAGTAGAACATTCAGTACCAGAAGTCACATAAAACTGAGCAATTTTAGTCAAAATTAGTATTTCTAATTCTTTTGCTCTTATCTTTCAGGAGGTTTAAAGCTTTGTGCTCCAGATGGAGTTGTTCCCAGCAAATTAATTGAAGTGTTCAGTGCAATTACCTCAGGAAATGGAGATACTTCTGAACAATCTATTCAGGTTTGAATTTCAACACTTGTGTTTCCTCCTATGCTTTTAGATGATCAGTAATTGAATTCATTTAGACATGAATGTGCTCAGTAGCTCAATTGCAGAAAAAAAAAGCAAGTCCATTTCTTAGTGATCGCCCACATTTCACTTCAAAGAAATAGATCTATAATGTTATAACTTCTATAATTCTTGATTTCAAAAATATCAAGAAAATTATTTATCACAATTATCAAAGTCCAAGAGACTTTGACAGAAAAGCAAGCAGAAATCCTACAGGATGTTTAGTTCACTCCTATCTGAAAAATTACCTTTTAGAGCATTTCAACAGTCTAACTTAAACAACAAAGATACAATTAAAAATACAGCTTCTCTCCTAAGCCATATGTATAATTTCAATATATAAACTTTTAGATTTTAATCTAGGACAACTGATAATTAGAATTTAGCAATGCATTCCTCATTTTGTTAGTATTTAGTACAGATCTGGGCTTATGTTTTATCCAAAGTACACCACTCACAGAGATAGCTAGATTATAAGCAGCAGTTAATGTAGCTTAGAAAATTGGGTCTGGGATATTTTGAGTTGTTATACTGTCTTTAATTGACTCTTCTGTCCCACCTATACAAGGAAAAAGAACTAAGCTTATGACTGCAGTGGAAATACAGCTTACTGGCACAATGCTTTAGATAGGCAGATAAATAGATACAGAAATGAAGGACTTACTATAACTTATTCTGTTTATTACAATTTTACACTTGAAATCAATGTTACTATGCAAGCAGCCATTTCATATAGTGAACCTGGGATTTTGTTAGTTTTCTTCATTCAATAGCTGGCCAGGTAGCTCTTAATTTTCCTGTAGGTCGAGACAGCAGAACTAGAAAGCATCCCATCTTTTCTATATAACTCTGAGTTAGAAATACTTAAGCAGGGATCTTTTTTCATGGTAGTTTCCAAAAGGTGTAAATGCTTTTCAATTGTCTCCTCCAAGACTAATCCATTTTAAGTCAGCAGTGAATGGATACTATATTTTGCAATGGACAAAGAATCACTCTGAAAATACGTTAAATACTTCTTTACTAAATAGCAATAAGACAAATTTTATTTCTCTAACCACAGCTTGAAAGCAAAGAGCTAGTTGTTCAGCATTCTGCATGGATGAACACTACTGTGCCTGTTGACAAAACTGTGGGAAATGACACTTTCTTCAGCATTGCATGGAACCTGTCTCAGCCATTTTTTTTCCTGAGGGACCCCAAAGGAAAAGAATATGGAAGCTCAGACTTTACAATTGATAGTTCAAACCCCTACACAGCTAGACTCCGCATAAATGGCATTGCAGAGGTAAAGACTGAACATTTTCTGAATTCACATTCTCTATAGACTATCATACAGGTTTTCTTTAATTACTTTTTTATTATTGTCCTGTTGGAACATGAAGCTTTTTCACTAGTTTTTATACTTTTGTATTTTATTTACAGGAGGGTGATTGGCAGTTTTATATTAAAAATGTTCACACAGCAACTCAAGGTATATCAGTAACAGCTACCTCTCGACCAGCATGTTATGATGTTCCTCCTGTGATTGCTGCAGTTCACGTGAACAGGGCAAATACAGCATTTAATCCAGTTGTTGTTTATGCAGAGGTTAGCCAAGGGTTTTGGCCTGTTCTTGGTGCAACAGTGACAGCCACTATAGAGAAGGATGATGCTACAGCAGTAACCCTTGAACTTCTTGATAATGGTGCAGGTAAGATTCCATATATAATAGTAAAAACATTAGCAGTTACGCATTTTGGAATCCAAGTCTGCAAGTTCCCCTCAGATTTAGTTCACTAAATGTTAGCTTTAGAGTCACAGAACAGTCAGGGTTGGAAGAGGCCTTAAAGCTCATCCAGTTTCAACGCCCTGCCATGGGCAGGAGACATCACACACTAGACCAGGTTGCTCCAAGCCTCATCCAACCTGGCCTTGAACACTGCCAGGGATGGGGCAGCCACAGCTTCTCTGGGCACCCTGTGCCAGCGCCTCAGCACCCTCACAGGGAAGAGCTTCTGCCTTAGATCTAACCTGAACTTCCCCCATTTCAGTTTGAACCCATCACCCCTTGTCCTATCACTATAGTTCCCTTCAGACACTGGAAGCTGCTCTGATGTCTCCACACAGCTTCTCTTCTCCAGGCTGAACAGCCTCAATGTTCTCAGCCTGTCTCCATAGAGGAAGTGCTCCAGCCCCTGATCATTCTTGTGACCTCCTCTGGACTTGTTCCAACAGTTCCATGTCCTTTTCATGTTGAGGACACCAGCACTGCACACAGTGCTGCAAGTGGGGTCTCATAAGAGCAGAGCAGAGCAGAGGGACAGGATCACCTCCCTCGACCTGCTGCTCACACTCCTGTTGATGCAGTCCAGCACACAGGGGGTTTCTGGGCTCAAACGCACACTGAAGCAGCTCATCTGCAACATCTGCAAGCCCTTCTCCTCAGGCTGCTCTGAATCACTTCTCTGCCCAACCTGTATCTGTGCCTGGGATTGCCCCAACCCAGGTGTAGGACCTTGCACCTTCATCTGTTTTTATGTATGCATTATTTATAATTGCATTATTTATTTTATCGCATTTACATTATTGCATTATTTTCAAGAATACTTTTTATTAGAACAATAGTAAGACATTCCCAGCATTCAGCATCCTTCAATCTCTTTTCATCTCTCCTCTCACCACTGCTGTATAGCTGTAGCTTTTTAAGTGCAGCAGTAGCCAGCAATGCCTCCTAATTTTGTCCTTGCTTTCACATATATATACATATATATATATATATATATATACATAACAAAACTTCAGTGTGCTACCCGGTGTTTCTTAAACATCTTCTATATTCTGAAACCTGTGAAGTTATTTTTACATTGCTGCCAGGCTTGCAAATTTTGTGAGCTTGGATGCCACCAGTAGATCGCCTATTGCAGCCAGTCAGGTACAACTGCAGAAGTTCACTTAAAGAGAAGAAATCCTTGATAAATTCCTGGCCAAAGGGGGAAGCATGACACTTCTCTAATTTATAGGTACTTTATGTAGTAGAAGGCCAGTAAGTATTAACTTGGTGGTTCCATACAGTAACAAGAGGTTTACCTAAAGGTGTTAATGCAAAATGGTTCTTTTTAACAAAATATATATGAAACACATACTGTCATAGTGGGGGCACTCCTCTTGTTAAAGATGCACAGATTACAAAATACTGCCAGGTTTTCTGCATAGTAATGTTCAGCAAAAATAACCTTGTTTACCAGCAGGTATTTTGAGTTAGTAATTCCCAGTAATTCTATACCAAGGTGCTGACATGATGAAGAGTGATGGAATCTATTCAAGATACTTTACTTCTTTACAAGGCACTGGAAGATACAGCCTAAAAGTGAAGTCCCATGGAAGAAATGCAACCACCAGTCTTAGCCTCAAGCGAAATCAAGCCTCGTATAATTCAGGCTACAGAGAAAATGGTACGGAGAGTTTACAAAACAGACAGTTCTTTGTCTGTTTGTTTGTAGGGGTGTGTAGCAAATGAGATCATTTAGATTCACAAAAACGGCATTTCATCTTAAAAGATGTCTCATCTATTATATTAAAATTTAATATTTTTACACTTTTACATTGTGAAATTTAGAAAAATCAGGATTAAAATTGTCTAAAACCTCATGAAGTACATTCTATATAACCAAAATTCTCTTAAGGCCTGCAATATGGGTAAAGAGATGGATGAAACTACCTTATTGCACCCTCGGCTCACCAACATCTGCAACCTGCTTTACTGGTTGCATCATTTCTAATTTTTACACATTTCAGACTTTGTCTGGTTTGGGGGTTTCCTAATTTTTATGCTGAGAATCCTGAGATCACCTTCTTTTCTGTCTTTACTTCACTAACTTTCCACTATATTTGAATAAGCTAAAGAAAATGTTTAGGATGAGAAGAGACAATAAAAATGAGAAGAAAATGCAATTCAGAGTTCTGTCACAATGAAAGTTGAAAAATGTTTTAAACAGGTAAAATTTACATGACTGCACCAAGACCTGAATTTGCTGATGAAGAAATCCAAGTCCAGCTGGGAAGTTTCAGCAGAATTTCAACAGGTTCTTTTGTAATGAGTACAGGAGATCCTGCTCCTATTTATCCACCCTGTAAAGTTACAGACCTTCATGCTCGTATAGAAAACAGAACAATAGTGTTGTCTTGGACAGCTCCAGGAGGTGATTTTGACAATGGAAAAGGTGAGTGAGATACTACATTGCTATGAGATGAGGTTGATATTTTTATTTGGAAGGACACACCCTCAGAACCACCACTCAGGGGTGAAGGCTACATCTTTCCTACCTGAAAATGTAACCGAACAGAAACTTACCTTGTTGCATAGTACCTGTTTCAGTTCTCCTTGTTTTTCATGTTAAAAAAAAAACCTAAACAGCCAACAAGTAAACCAAGGAATATTATAAGCAAATCAAATAAATAAAATTATAGTACAACCACTAGAGACTTTAGCAGTCTTGGTCCATGCCTGTGCGTAACGCCAACATGGAAGATACAAAGCTTTAGTCTCTTTTCAAAGATGGAGAAGGACCATAGATATGCAGTAATGTTCTATCCACAATACTCCTCTTAAGGTTGCTGCACAGGAAAAATGAAAACTGATTCCAGATGAAATGTACAAGCATTTCCTTGCATAAGCTAGAGACTGTATGTTAAAATCTACAGTCTACAGTTATGCAGATTACAGTTTCAGATGAAAACCTTACATTTGTCTACAATTCTTAATAGCCGTACAAGGAAAAAAAAACCACCAGCCAAAAACCCCAAATCTCAACTTCTTTCATTGTTATTCAGCAATTCCATGTCTAAAAATTTTTTATCCTAAAACTATTGCACTATAGTTTAAGATAGCAGGTCTACACGGTGTGTGAACACTTGCAGGGACGGTGACTCCAGCACTGCCCTGGGCAGCCTGATCCAGTGCCTGAGCACCCTCTGGGGAATGCATTGTTCCTAATCTCCAGTCTAAACCTCCCTTGGTGCAGCTTGAGGCCATTTCCTCCTGTCCTTGTTCCTTGGGAGAAGAGACTGACCCCACCTCACTACATACCTTGTGCTGAGAGAGAATACAGATCAGATGCAAAGCTTATGCCTGCTATCTACAAATATACAAATATATTTTAATTGCCATTTCATCTTATGTTTGTATTTGGACAACACAGTTTCTCATTCAGCTACATTTTGCACAGATCTGCACAAAGCTAGGAGTGTTGGTGAAATCATATCTTTAAGGCACATTTAATTTCAATTTTTAATTCAGAAGGAGTTCCCCAGACCCAGCCACGGTAGACTTTTGACAGTAAGGCTTAGAAGCAAACTTGCCAATCCTCCATGTTCACAGTATCACACAGTATCACAGTATGCTAGAGATTGGAAGGGACCTCAAAAGATCATCTAGTCCAATCCCCGTGCCGGAGCAGGAACACCTACTCCCCTACACTGCTCTCTAACAGGTCGTTCCCCAACCTATACTGGAACCTGGGGCTGTTCCTGCCCAGATGCAGGACTCTACACTTTCCCTTGTTATATTTCATCAAGTTATTCCCTGCCCAACTCTCCAGCCTGTCCAGGTCTCGCTGGATGGCAGCACAGCCTTCTGGCGTGTCAGCCACTCCTCCCAGCTTAGTGTCATCAGCAAACTTGCTGATAGTACACTCAATTCCCTCATCTAAATCATTGATGAATATATTAAATAATACTGGTCCCAGTACTGACCCTTGAGGCACTCCACTAGTTACAGGCCTCCAACTAGACTCCGCCCCATAGACTACAACTCTGGCTTCTCTCCTTCAGCCAGTTCACAGTCCACCTCACTAGGTGGAGTAATGTTGAGTAATAGTCAGTAGTAAAACAGGAATCATTAGGACATTTTTTGTACAAAATGGCTCTAGAAGTACTGTACTGTCACTGCAAGAAACGATGTGAAAACATTTATACTTGCTTGCTATTAACATGTGGTTTTTTTCCCCCTAGCTGATCACTACATAATAAAAACCAGTAAAAATCTTCTGGACCTAAGGAATAACTTTGATCATGCTACTTCTGTGAATTGCTCTAATCTCATACCTAAGGAAGCTGGTAGAGAAGAATCATTTGAAATTCAACCAGAAAATAAAACAGAAAATGGCACCAAAATCTACTTTGCTATATGTGCTGTTGATGATACCAACTTGATTTCAGAGGTGTCTAATATAGCCCAAACCACATGGTTCCTTCCTCCAAAAGCATTTGTGCCTTTAAATCACCAAGGCAGCACTAACGGTGCCAACACTGCAGTAATAGTGGCAGTAGCAACTCTGTGTGCAGCAGTTGTCTGTACTATCATAAATTCAACTCTCTATGTTTTTAGCAAAAAGAAGGGAAGACTGGAGATTGAAAAAATGCAAAGGCATGTGTAAAATAAAATGAAAAAATAGAAGGAATTTACTGCAATTTTTGCTACGCAAGTTTCAAAGTAGGAAAAGAGGTATTTGTACATTAAAAACATAAGAGCACTGACTTCCAGCAGATGTATTTGTCTGTTCTGATAGGCTTATAGATGTAAATGTTCAAAAGTATCTCATATTCAAGTACCTGTACACTGATTAAATGTTAAACATGAAAGCATGTACTCGGAAATATAGTAAAGTATAATATGTATACTCTCATTTGTTTCTAGGTGATAAAAATATTTAACTCTTCTGTTGCAATATTCTTCCAATGTAATGTGGCTTTTTTTCTTAAATAAAGAAGGCAAAGGAATATGAGACTTCCCTTATTCTTATTCTCCACATAACAATCAAGTAAGGCAAGGTGGTAAAGAGATCAGAAATACCTTCAGTTAGTGCAACGACTTCCTATTTTCCAATGAATTCCGCATGATTTCAGTTAGGTTTTTTGAGCTGAGAACAAAAATATGTACCTCAAGGCTGTCTATTTTTCAAAAAATATTTTAAAATATGTATCTCCAAGCTGATTATTTTATTTTTAATACTGAAATATGTCTACCTATAGGTGTGTAGAAGAGTTGAGTATATAAATATTTCTAGAATGAGAGTTGCAGAGTAAATGCAAATGAGCACATGGAAAATGTTCCTATGTTCATCTCTTAATGAACTTTACTACTGTATACGTTTTCAGATCTAAAATTCCATTTCCCCAAACAATAACAACATTGTAATTTTAGTCCCTATCAAGGCCAGAATAGCTGTCACATTTTAGAAGAGAGAGACGCCTTTGGAGAAGAGTCAGAAATCAAAGCATTATTTGCTGATATAGGTTCCCTCTAACAGATTTTAGGTCACCAAATGTCCATTTATTCAGAAATATTTCCTTTCATTTGCTCCTGATGCATCTTCTTATTCCCTAAGTATTTCTGCTGTGTATGAATTGGTAGAAACTACATCATACATAGAATCAGAATAAATGGGTTGCAGCATTGTTCCTGGAACTATTTTCTAGGGTCACTTAAAAGTATGACAGATAGGCTATAGCCTATCTCCATCCATTATTCATCCATTACTCTGAAGACCCCCAGTCCTACCTTGCCTAGCAAGCAGGACTGCAGTAGTCTATAGTATGTAGGCAATGACACCTAGTGGGCTCCAACAAAACTTACAGTTTTCCCAAACGCTCTAAAGAACAGTTTAGATCAAGTCATTGCTGTCCGGGATGTTCTGACTTTCATATAAATGTATATTTAAAAGTACAATCAAATACGAATAGTTGAAGGTTGAATTTAGCACTTACGGCTGGTTTTTACTATAAGAGCATGAAGATTTATTTTAATTAGGAACTTCAGTTTACAGTGCCTGTGCTATGGTAAAAACTGAAGGACTCTGTTCAAGTAACACAGGATTCTGCACTTCCCCAAAGTGGGGAAAACACAATTTGCTCTTTCATGGCAAGCAAAATGACAGGGTAAGACTGACTGACTTCAATGATTATGTTTACACCAACAGTATGTATGCTCAAAAGCTATGTGGACTGGGGTCCCAATCACTGACACAACTGCCACATGCCAGTTCAGACTGGCCTGAAAAGATGTGATAGTTAAAGTCAAAACTGTATAAGCTTTGTTCCTCAATATGTTCTTCCTAATGCTCTCAAAATAACCTAAGCCTCCAGCCTCCTATACAGACCTCATGGTGTTCCATTGAGAAGATAAGTTTGATTATTCCTATGCCACTTGTAAAGAGAATGTAGTACCATGTGATAAAGTGACTTTATTGCAGTCATCAGCAGGGAAGTGAAGAGCTGCAAATACACGTCCAGCCACTAAACTGTTATTGCAGTTTATCCCAAGACTTCAATTTGTATTTCCCTAAGGGAAGTTATAGCCTATAGAATTTTCCATAGAATCTTCTTCCAAGTGTAAGATAAACAGCTTCTTCTAAGATAGATAGCTGTGGTGTGGGACCAAATTATGATCCTGCCTGGGTATCAAACTAACCTGCTGTGGCTCCAGGAAGTATGACACTAAAAGGACAAAGACCACGAAAAGAACATGATTTACCTAGTCCAGTTCCCTGAAATGTCATGACTTTTGCCAACTGACTCTTTTGCCAGTTGCTGCCTGCAGTTGTAGTACAACCCTTGTTGAAGTGTTTAAGGGAAGCACAGCAACAGCTGCCGTAAGGACCAGTAGAAGAGTGCACTAAGTGAAAAGGAGCATTAATTCTCACTGGGATAGCTGTAGTTTTTGAGCGGAAGCTGCTTTTGAGAACAGCTGTTTTCTGGTTCTGTCAAATCCAGGCCCCAGATTTTTCATGAAAGCCTGATTGTACACAGGCCAGGCAGCTGGCACTACTGATTTTATAATCTTTGCCTGGTTATTATCAAGCTAAGCTCACAGTTGTTAATGTTGGCACAGAAGTTATACACTGACACACAAACAAACGCATTTACCTATTTCAATAGAACAAGCTTTGACTATTAAATAGAGTTATAATTTAATAATGTTCATTTTAAGTGACACATTCTTCTCATTTTATTTTTATATGTCTTTTCACTACATTAATAAAGGTTAAATCAAACTTACCTTCAGATTTTCATGCACATTTATTTTGAAACTCTGGTTCCAGAATTGCTGTTATTCTTCAAAGTATTAGTTGGAGTTCTGAAGAGCTGTGACTGGTAATAAACTGCCAGAAGACTTCAATTTCTGCTGCTTATCTGCATTAAAAGATTACATAAATACATAAAAATTATGCCAATATATGCTGCAGCTAGATAATAATGAATGGGGAATAGTGTAGACATACAGTGACACAAGATGGGACCCATACAGCTCAATGTATTATAGAACTAAATATATATGAATTCCAACATAGATACTACATTATTGGGATTATACATGCTACAGAAATGTGTTTACTAATTTTAATGTGTTTTCACAATGATATAAACTGACTTATGGAGACATTTTGGGGGTTGTTTCTGTCTTCATTAAATCTTTTACTCCGAAGCCTTTGGTTTAAACGCTACTTTCTCATACAGTCAGAAAGCAGTTCTGGGAGTCAGCTTGGAAGCATTTAAGTTAAAAGCTATTATTCTCTCTATATAAGTATTTTATTCATTAAACTATAAAGCTTTATATTTATATAATTTTGTTTAGCTTTTTTTGTAAGCATAAGTCTTTAAGGATGTGGTCCAACACTGGTTAGCATCAAGGAAAGAATACTGGAAGCCCTCCCAGTAGATACACTACATATTGGCATGTGGTAGTCAAAGGATTGTTTTAAAATTCAAATAATTTAAAGCAATCATACATTCCTTAAAATTAAAGCGCGCTTTAATTTCAAGGTCAACAAATATGGATGCTATCTATCAAGCCATCCTGAACCATACTAAATTGTGCCAGGCTTACAATGTTTCTGGAAATTGACCTTAAAAAAATCCTCAAGATTCCACATATGTTCAATACTCTTGATTATCATAAAGCTTCTCAAGAAAAGTCTAATGACAAGAAATAAAAACCTTAAGATGCATTTCTTTACTGATAAGTCTGACACAGAAGCAAAGTTAGCAGATTTAATAACAGCAACTGTGCTGCAGCATCTAGTCGTTCAACCTACAGATCTCAAGCTTCCTACCCTATTTTACAGTGTATTCCAATGTAATACTTCGCTGCAAAGCTTTACAGCTACATGACCAAGACTTAGGTAGACAAATATGATGATCTAGAGAGATATAAAAGGCTAAAACTACAGTGATTCTAACCACTGGTCTTATTTGTCTCCCACTTCAAGAAATTGTAATCAGAAATCCTCAAAGCCCTCACTCAAATAATTACCAAGTGACAGTATTGAAGCTTTTTATGTAAATTCTACAGGGATGTTCCAGGGTCTGTTTATATCCAACAGTATCATGCTGTAAAAGGTTATTTCTTCTATTTGGACATGTTATAAGCAAGGCTGCAGATCAGGCAGTAGGCAAAGTATGGTGTTCATCATACCTGCTGGTGCACTGGTCACCAACTTTTTTCATAATCATCAGAGATGAGAGGACATGGCATGCTTCAATTTCTTTTTCAGCCTGAGACAATTCTGTAGATTCTCACATGGCTTATACTTCAGCACTTTTACATATGACCAGCCCTGCTGTTTACCCTACACTTCTGAAGGAAGCTACTGCTCCTCCAGCACAGGTAGCAGCAGTAAACATGCTGACTCCTCGGCTGTTTGCAGCTGATTTTATCAGAAAGAGCTACGGGATCTTTGAATAGACCTGCAGAGCTCTCTAGGTCAGTATCTAGCTTGTAACTAAGCCCACATGCTAGGTACGTCTCTCTTTACCTGAACCAAGTGTATCAGTTTATCCTGAACTCAAAACCCTGACAATGCTTCTAGCTCTGAACAGCAGCCGTAGAAAGGAACCGTCATTTCCTGCTAGAACCAGGTATTGAAGCTTCCACTAAAGACAGGGCAGAGAGCCTGCATGTGGTAATCTCTTCAAATGACCGCAAGAATCTTCAAGGTTCAGCTCTTAACACCTGAATGTATGTTCCTTCTAGGATGCAAAAATAACAACAATAACAAAATCTAGCTTCCCCTGAACACTATGTTATAGGCCTACAGGATGTGGACAAAGAGAATTTCAAGAAAGGGAGTAACTTGGAAGTGTTTTAAGAGCAGTGGAATACTGTGGGACTCAAGCATGTAGTTGAAGGTTGTGATCCAACAACAGGATTTATTTTTATGTTATAGGATTAAATAGGGAAAAACGTTCCAAACTGGGTTTTTAGATGAAATTCATAAACATACATTAAAACACATCTTCCTCTTAGATAAGTGTAGCAACTATTCGCCTGAAGAGTTGTTTTCTCCCTCTCACTCACATTCTGACTGCTTAAACTTTCATTAAAACAGGAAGGATGTAAAAAGTGGGAACTGAAAAAACACATCTGATGCCCCACTTATGCCAAACAGCCCATCTGCTAAAGGCAGAAGAACCATCTACTTCAGGCATTTTCCTAAGAAATAGTACTGTTTTGTTTAGGGCTCCTTAGGAAAGCAGCAATTAAAAGTAGATATTCCAAATCCTACAAGAATATTCTAATCCATGGGAGCTTAAACGATGGGAGTCTTCTTCCTCTTCCATCCAGGTTATGCTAGAAAGGAGAGGTATCGAGCCATTTGCTGAAGTAAAAAGTGGAGTGTCAAGGCTGTCAGTCAATATAACCATAGAAAGCAACACATCCCTCTCTTGCAGGTGAGGCTCACATGTCATGGGCAGCAACAGGGCTCTTCAGGGAAGAACCACCAGTATTTTGTCTTGGGAAGAGCTAGACCGTGTTGGTTGCTGTCAATTCCACTCTTATGATATCCCTCTCCCAAGACATTATTGGGGTACAGATCTTAACCTGAAGCGGTGCTTCTACCTCATGGTCAGGTACTGCTGCCCTCAGTTGTTTGGCATCTCTTTTTTGGAACTCCATCAATGGGAACTCCTGATGCTTAGCACCAATGAAAGCTATGAAGTGATCTAATTGCATCTGTGTGTCCACATTTAAAATCTTCGATGTTGCTGTCTCTTCACATGTCCTACACTGATATCATAAGAAATCATAATCAGCTTTTATAGACCATATAGCACCGAGCATTACAAGAGGGACTTGTAAGATTTTTATATACCAGTAAAACTCATTTTAAGCAATGGAAACTTGCTATATAGTTTTCATATATAAGCACTTACATCCACACATAAGTGAGACAATAAAACCTAAAAAAGGTGAAACATATTTGAGCAAAGCAAACACGTATACACAATAGCTTTCAGGCCCTCTCCTTATCAGTACTAAGGGTACAATGGGAACTTTACACAGTCTGGTTTTGTGTTGGTTTTAATTCCTGGAATCTAACCAGCATATAAGCAATATTGCTTTGATTGTTACAGTTACTTCCTTTTACTGGAATTCCTTTCTTGTCATAATGCTCTAGGATTTCCTCTGACTTTATCAAATTTAGCCAAACAGTACTTATTATTTGGATTATGAGGTAAACAACCAGGATCATTTTCAAAGTGGGAATATATTAGTTTGTTGCCAATGACGCCACATTATAAATGTGGTCTCTAATTGCTAGGCCAGGTGAAAGGTCATAGAATCGTAGATTCATAGAATGGTTTCGGTTGGAAAGGACCAACCCCCTGCCATGGGCAGGGACACCTTGCACTAAACCAAGTCACCCAAGACTTGGCCTGGCCTTGAACACTGCCAGGGATGGAGCATTCACAGCTTCCTTGGGCAACCCATTCCAGTGCCCAGCACCCTTACAGGGAAGAACTTCTGCCTTAAATCTAACCTGAACTTTCCCTGTTTCAGTTTGAACCCGTCACCCCTTGTCCTATCACTACAGTCCGTGATGAAGAGTCCCCAGCATCCTTGTAGCCCCCTTCAGACACTGGAAGTTGCTCTCAGGTCTCCATGCAGCTTCTCTTCTCCAGGTAGGTCCATTCTTTTCCTCTTGGGCATTTGCAAATTATCATGAGAGACGTTAAAATAATGGAAATTATTAATATTAGGGACTATTTTGTTCTAATCTGGTCGTTTGCTGGTATTAAGTTCCTAAACTCAACGTATTTTCAGATACTCCCTTTGTGATGCTTTGGTGCGCTATCACAGTTGTGTCTCAACTCACATTTATCGAAACAAGCTCTTTTAATAAACACCTTTTTCCTGAACTTAACAACTCTTCCCCAGCTGACATTTTCACCCGTGAACACTGTGCTTCATGAAGACAAGGGTTGACTTACAAAACTGGACTCAAGAAATGGGGGCCGAGGGCGGGAGGCTGGACCTTGTACCCTCAGAGGACACTTGTCAGACGATTCCAGCCGCGGCGGGCACCACCAACCGCATAAAGGGATTCTGCCTTTTCCGCCCGCCCTTCTAGCCGATCTGTACGGTAAAGGCCGCGGCCTGCTCCACGAAGTGCCTAGTCCCTCGTCCCTCTTCCCCCTCGGCCGGCGGGCCGGCGATTCGCGGGCCCAGCACCGCGCCGACAACGGCAGCGCCCGCCTAACGCGAAAGCGGACGCCCCGCCCTAAGGGGCGGTGACCCCTCACCCACGAAGCCCCGCCCACCGTCCCCTCACTCCGGGGCGGGTCGGGCGTCCCCGGCGCTTCACCGGCTGATCCGGGCTCTGCGACAGACGTCGTGGCAGGGGCCAATCGACGGCGTCGCCGGGCTTGGCACCGCCCCCCCGGCGGCTCCCCACAGGGACGGGCCGGAGCGGCCGCCGCTGCCGGTGCCTGGGTTGGGTGAGCGCTTTGTCCCCCGCCGAAGATGAACATCATGGACTTCAATGTGAAGAAACTGGCGGCCGATGCCGGTACCTTCCTGAGCCGCGCCGTGCAGGTACGCCCCGCCCGTCCCTGCGGGCGGCTTACCGGGACTGGGCTTCGCTGCCGCGGCCCTCGCTGGGGGAAGCGGGAGAGGCTCCGCGGGGCCGCCGCTGGGCCCAGCGCGGCGTGGGGCGTTGGCCGGGGCTCTCGGCTCCGCCCTGGGCCGGGGGAGCGGCGGTCGGGAGGGGCCAGGGTGGTGGCTGGGCCCAGCTCTGAGGGAGCGCCCAGCCTGGCTCTGCTGGCGAGGGTTGAGCTCAGAGCCCTGGCCTGGCTGGGCAGCGATGTGCTGCTGTCAGTGCCTCATCCTCCAGCCAGCTCCTTCCCCGCGGGTCCCTTGCTAGTACTGGGCATGGCGGGACTTCGTCCAGACCAGTTGCAAAGCCGCTGGCCTCGGGAGAAGGCTGGGGCAGCCCAAGGTCAGGGCAGGCGGGGAGGGAAGAGGGCGCCTGAGCTGAGGGAAGGCGAGGGGACGAGTTGAGCAGGCATCAGCTGTGAGGAGATAGGATAGGGTTTAGTCGTGGAGAGGCCGAAGGTGTGTCTGGCCTGAAATAAGCTGGTGCTAAAAATGTATCCTGCTATCTGATTGGTAAAATTGGATCTCTCGATGTGACACGTGAAAGAATCTGTCTGCTTAGGCTTTTTGATTTGAGCTTTAGTGCCGTTTTTAAGCTTGTTTGATAGCGTATGTTTTCTGCACCAGTCTTCCCTTTCTCCATGCGAAGGGCACTGTAATTGGCTTTTGTTCCTTAGCTGTTGTCTTGAGCCGTAATCCCCGTTGTTTATATAGTCAAACCTGAACAGATTTCCTGTAGGGAGGTGGGACATCCAAGCGGTGCGTAGTAATGCACTTGGGTTTCTCCCGAGTTCTCGCTGGGTCAAACTGTGCGGTTTGGAATGTGATTAGCATTGTTATCTGGTCTGATCGGCCTGATGTATCGCCCTAAATCTCAATATTCAGGCAGAACCAATGACCCAGCAGCACAGTAGAGCTCTGAAAATGCAAACTCATCGGAAAACATTGTTGTTCGAATTTAAATGAATTTAAAGCAGTCGTTGTGGCTTCTCTTTGTAATGGAGGTCTTTCCATGCTTCAACCCCAGCTCCCCCCCCCCCCCCCCACCTTCCCGGCTTCTGCCAGGTCTACGTGTTTCCCAGATCATCTCTCCAGCCCCCACCCCTTTCCCTTGCTGGACAAGGAGAAAAAGATGTTCACTCTTCATTGTAAGATCCTGTGATGGGACCTTGTGATTTCATCCCTTTTATCTTGACTTTTTACATTTGAATCGGCTTATTGCCTTAAATCTAAGGTTTTTTGCAGTCTGACATGGTTTAAAGGTGAACTGTGTTTTACTTCAGTATGTTCTATCTGCATGGTTGGTTTACATCTGCATAGCTACATTGGTTATCTGCTTAACCTAAACTAAAACTCAGGGGGAATGTGGAAGTAATAAGTTTGCTCTACCAGCTGCCACTTTCCCCTGAAATGAGAAGTTTAATGAAGCCATGAGGGGGAGGAGCAAATCCCTGACATGCTGTTGTAGTCTGAGTAACTCATGTTCTGTGTGCTACTGTTGCTTCTTCTGTTTTCCTAAGTAACTATGTGAGGCCTACAGATAATATTGCTGGATAAGAATTGTGATTTTTATTTTTTTCTTAATATCACCTAAATGTAAATTTTCTGGCCTCCAGTAAAAACTATAGATTTATATTTTGAGTATTTTGAGTTAAAGTTCAGACTTCAGTGGATGACATACCATGTTCTGTCATTAGTTGCTTTGGGATATTGGAAACGGAAGTCTCCCACCAAACCCTATAAAACAATCCAACAGCATAAAGTGGTCTGTAGGAAAACCACTTAAAATCTTCTGTTTTAACTTAGAAGAGGGTGAATGCCTTGTTACTGTTTCACAGGCTTATCAGACTTCTATTTTACAAGGGGACTGGGGCTGTTTTACCCACAACCACCTGGTATTCATGTTCCCGGAAACTTCTTCCTTCTGTGGACAAGATTATACTGTGTCCAGACTGTCATGCTCTATATAGCAATCTACAGAAAAATGAAGTTCACTGGCCATCTTCATCCAAAGCCTACTCTTCCTTCTAGCTGGCGGAAAATGCTTGAGGGAGTCAGTCTTGCAATAGTTGCAGTTTGTGGAACAAAGTAGCAAATGGTTATCGTTAGTGGTATTTGGAGTGAAATAAATAATGCCATAGAGTGTAGTAATAGGAATGTGAGTCCTTCCTGTTGCCAGACTGTAATTGACAAGCTGTCTGTGTAGCAGTCAGGAATGAACTGGGCTTCTACTCTTTGGTGGCAGGAACACTTTTATTGTTCAAGACCTCTACCTGAAGTTAGAGGCTTATTTTAATGCAGTTTCTCCTCCTAGTGATTTTGCAGTGTAGACTTGAACTGTCAGTTCGGCTGTGATAGCTCAGGTGTATGCAAAACAGTACAATTTTCTTCTGTATGAGCTGGTCACAGTCGGGCAACTTGTATGTATATTTTGAATTTAATAAAGATAGATGGGTGGATTAGATGGCTTACTGATACAGCTTGTTCCAGCAGGTGCTTACATTAAGTAACTCTGTCATATTTTGAACTTCTAGTAAAAAGGAAAACTTTCAGAGCTCTAATCAAAGTAGAAAATAGTATCTGCCTATGTTGGAACAATTCTTCTAAGCAGAAGAAACATGCTTGATTCATAGCACTACTTTCCTACAGAAAAAACAGTTCAAATTTAGGTTTCAGGGTAATCAAGATAGGAAATCAAGAGTGGCAGCA